AAATACTCGCAAGCGCTGCCTCGCTTTTTGCCAGCGGCGGTCAAACGCTTTATCGAAACACATTGCAGGCTCTCGTTATTACAGAGGGCAAGACTATCGCCAAAATGCCTAATATATGCGCATCTGTTTCGGCTCGGCTATGGGATGGCTGCGATGATTATCGGCAAGTAACCACAATAATGTGTTGATTACCGCAGTGCAAGCCACTTAAGATTCAGTCCACAATCTGACAGCATTTGCAAGTGTAATTAAGCATATACCCGCTAATTGTATGTCGGCGCTTATGAAAGACGCTCCATTTACGGCTCAACGGGATTTATTTATTTATTTTGTTTTTTAGACTTTGAAAGCTCGACTCCTCGCGTTCGATATGCTAATGCCAACGTCTCCCAAGCAAACAAGCGTACGCGTGCATATCCATTTGATCAACACACACCCACATCAATCGGCAGTTCCTCGTTCTAATTGTGAAAGGCACCGAGCGAGCGAGCGATCAGATCGCAATCACGACTGTCTGCCAGGCGATCGAACCTCAAAGAAGCTCGCGTGCGGATAATCTACTTAATGCGCACAGACGACGAGAGTCGAGCAGTCCTTTGTAGCGATTAACCGAGTCAACTCCGTCAAAATTACTCGGCCGTGAATTCCTACCTAGTGAACCTTCACCTTCTGGCGATAGAGAGAGAGACAGAGAGAGAGAACATTCCGTCGCTCGACGGAACAATTCGACCTAAATCTCCGACGCGTCACAACGAGCGCTCGGATTAAGCACTTCGGCGTGATCACCGATTTCCACCACCGGTGCGAGTGCAGCAACCGTGCGCGTAGCTTCCTGTCGTTCGCGAGAGCTCAGCCGCGTTTTGCTTTCTCGGTTACGTACTTGCGCATCGCTGAATTGCCGAGCCGACTGCGCGTCGCACAACGACAAAAGGCACATAATCCCACTGGGCACGACGAGCCCTTGGAACGTACAGAGCGCCAGTGTAAACGCGTGGTCGCCGTGGCCGGCGCACAGCGGCGCTCACGGTTACGCGCCATCGCCGTGAACGGGCGCGTACGTATTTGGCCAGCGAGGCAGAGTATCGCGCGCTGCTGTCTTCGCGTCGGCGAGCGCCTATAAACGGGCGCGCGGCCACAGCGTTGACTAGCTTTTAATGCGCTTATCCGCTCGCCCGTCCGCGAGTCGCGCGCGAGATTCTCTCCCCTCGCGCGCGACTGCGACGCCTCTCGCTGCCTACTCGAGTTCGACAGTGGCATTCCTTATTAATCGTTTGATTGATCGCGAGCAGGAGGGCGGAGGCAATCGGATGCGACATCGAAGCGTAAAAATCTGCCAAGCGTTCAGTCCACGCGATTAGCGGCAGCAGTGGCGAATGAAAAGGCAGTTTGGCTGGGCGCTACCGCAGACGGGGGTAATACAAGCGTCGCTCTCGCGACCGCAGACCTGCGTACGCGCGCTCGAATTGACCGAGTGGTCGTCGCTGCGTCCACGATTAAAATGCGCGCGGCGCGCTAACGCCCGAAGAAAGCGCACCGCCGATATATCGGGAATAATATCGCTGGAGCGCTTAATAAACATTAAAGCGCAGTTGGCGCGCCGGCGCGCGACTTTCTCATTAAATTGTCGCGCGCGCGCGTAAGTTATGTCTCGATGAGTCGATACGATATGATAATTTTAGCCAGGGAGAAAGTGCGCGCGCTCGCCGCGGCGCGCGTATATAAGAAATTGATCGCGCGAACGAGAGATTAGAGCAATAATTTATCGCTGGCTGCGAGTCGTCACGCCGACGCGTTGGAAAAGCTCGTTTTAATTTAAACCGCGAAATTATGATTCGCGGAACAGCAGTAACGATAATTCCAAAGTAAATAGGTGCAAGTAAGGGCTTTGACGAACAAAGGCACGAGCGGAGTAGATAGCAAGAGAGAGAGAGAGAGAGAGAGAGAGAGAGAGAGAGAGGCAAGTCGGCAAGTCGGGGGCTGCTAACCGCTTTAACCGCCGCAGGAACATTAAGCGCGCGACCGCGGCGCTGGAACGAGTTTTCGCGGATGTCGGCTGGCATGCGGCGATAATTATGAATCGGCCGCGCGCGAGAGAGAGAGGAGTCCGCTGCAGCATCGAGCCACGCGCGTGCGCGCTCGCCTCGCAATTCCGAATTTGCGATAGCGGCCCAGCGAAAGCCTTTCTCGGCCGAAGTGCCCTGCGCTCGTGCTGCGAGCCCGTCCCGACCGATTTTCCGCAGTTGGCGAACGACCGCGGACGGCCAATCGGTCGCGCAGTGTCGCTTTGCCGTGCGCGAGACGCGCGATCGACGAGTCGCCGGCGAGGCGCGCCGCGTCGGGCCCGATAACGAAGACGACGGGCGAGAAACGAGCGGCTTCGAAAATTAGTACCTCGCAAGCATATTCCTCGGCTTGCGTCGATGCAGCACCGACCGTTCAGCGCGCCAATCAATAGGACGCGCGCGCGGAAAGAAGAAGAAGAGAGGAAGAGGACAAGAGAAGCGCTCTGCGGGCCTTCGCTTCGTTTTGCCTAATCTCTCTCTCTCTTGCTCTGTATACGCTCGCGTAAAACGCCTGGCTCTCTCGGAGTGATTAATTCGACGCTGCCCGGGTGCCATTAAAATCCTCCGCGCGAACAAATCAAGCGAAGGCGCACTCGCGCACGCCGAACAAGCTGCGCTCTCGATCATTTCGTGCCCAGAGAGCAGAGTAATCTCGCGCAGCCGGCACAAATAATTTACTCTGCTGCTGCTGCTGCTGCTGCTGCTGCTGTCGCCGTGCGTATGTGTTAGTGTACATTTCTCTGCTTCTCCCTCGCTGATTTCTTGCGTTGCTGCCGTGTAATGGCGCAGGCACACTATCGACAACGACGACGAAATATATATAAAGATCTGATCGTCGTCACGAAGGAAAAGATGGCAAGGACATTAAATTGAAACGAAGCGCAATGCCCCTGAGAGGAGAAGAAAAAACTTGGACGTGGCGCTAATGGCCTGGAAACTCATTGGATCGAGGCAATAAGTGGAGCAGTTTCCATAGCGAGAATAATCGATTGCGGTCGGCGAACATAAGGAATATTAGGCAAACGTAAGGTGTCGCACGCTCGTTGACGCTAACATGTTGTTACGCAGTCAGAGGAGAGTCAGACAAAGTGCGCGTAATAAGCATTTCATCGCCGCAAAGCGAACCGATATTTATCGTCGCTCACTGCGGACAGTTGGCACGAAGCAGCCGCGCAATGGACTGCTACACTCCATCATCCGCGCCGGTTATATATCGCCTACGAATTAGGATTATACCTGCTGACTCGCAAGCTCAGCTACAATCTAGCGCACGACGACGACGATATATCGTCTCTCTCAGCGGTGGTCAGCTAACAAATAATCTCTTTCGCGGACAGATTTTCTCGCTGTTGACTAACAGAATCGTTGAACGACGCGGTGTAGCTTCTCGCTTATCATCGACGTCGAAGGCATATTTTTCAGTGGGGAAGTCTTTTCCGTCAACCGAGTGTAACAAACGAAGCTCGAACGGGGTTCTTGAAGCTAAAGAAAGAAGAAAAAATCAAGCGCTATAGCTTGATCGAACAGCCATCAACGACCGTCCGCGATGCAAGCCTCGCGAAACACAATAGCAGCGGCGAGTGCGCGTGTCCAGTGTACATGTATATACACGTGTACATCGAGCGCGGAAAAAAAGTAGCCGTTGGAGGGCGAAAATAGAAAGCTGCACGGGCGCGTCGGTGCGCAGCGGCGGCGCCTCTCGCAGCGGCGATAAACTATAACGGGTTGGTAGACGCGCAGCCAGTAGTCGATCGGTCCATTATCTCGAGGACTGACTGTACTGGGCCGCTCAATTAATTCTGGCGGCGCTTGCAGTTACTGGCCACTCGACACCGCACGAGTATATGCATGCACGTCGCCGCGATCAAACCGAGCGTATCGCTTGGCAGATGCAATACGTCCAGGACAGAGAGCAACCTATTGCCGACGCTGCTTCGGCGCACATTGGAAATAATGGAAATACACGCTTGCTCGGAATATTCGATTGTCTTGTTGTTGCAAGATCGAACGCTCCTCGAGAGCTATGCTACTGAATTAAATTTCAAAATCGAAATGGAAACCCGTATATCCGCGCCGAGTGTTTACTCGTCTGCGTTGATTGTCACGTCTATGCATGAATTTCAAAGCAACGGATACACTTTTCCGGCAGTTAAAGCTCTTTTCGAACCGAAACACACACACACGCTCTTCGCGTGCGTATGCTTTTTTTTAACGCAAACAGCATTGATCGAAGAAATATTTTTATTTGTTTTCTTTTTTTTTACCGGGCGAAAATCCATTCGTGCAAAGCCAATTTGGCATATTCAGCGAGCGAATTTGGTCCGAAAAAAAAAAAAAAAAAAAGCGAGAGCAAAAAAGATGAATAAAACGAAAAATAAAAGCCGGAATATTTCCCGGATGTTTGTCCGATATTTCCGTTCAAAGACTCGCGAGCTAGCGCCGACAAAGCTTCGCTCGCGCGCTGGAATTTTCTCTCTATTTCCCCGGTACTAACGACCCGATCGAGTGGGCTTTTGATACATTGGGAGTCCCGTGATACGGAAGAGCTACAATGAAAGAAGCGCACGAAGGGATGATTTGCACTTTCGAGTGCTACGTGGAGAGACTAGCTTTGATACGTTGCTGTCTGCGCGAGATTTTATCGATCATTCATTCTCTTATTATGAATATCAAGCCAAATACCTTGCTGGGGTTTATTAAATTAATACTCGATCGAGTACCACCACTGCTTGTCTACAGATTGACAAAGATCGAGAGAATTTGCATTAAAGCATTCGCCAACCAAATAAAATTGGCTCGGACTGGCAGCAGCCGCAGACTAAGAAAATCCGAGATATATCGCATTACTTTGTGGCTGAATATTGACTGATTAAATAAGCGCGGAACAAACGCGAATTGAGTTCCAGACGAATTCTTATGTATCTTTGTGTGTTACAGAGCAATGTCGTAAGTGTCGGGCAAGTACTCGACGACTGAACCTGAACAAATACTGTAAGCGAGATTACGGTGAGTCTTTCCAAGTTTACATTAGTGTGGGATATATTGATGTTTACTTGCAACCAGTTTCAGAAAAGATGATAAAAACGTAACAAATAGACGAATTGCCATTAATGAGTTGATACATACTTATACATTCCTTATATTGGTGAAATTTCATAAAAATTTGCTCGTCTATTTTTCAAACATTCAAAACAACGTCAATGTAGAACCACTAAAAATTCAATATTCAAAGATGTATGTATAACTTGACAAATAGTCCACTTTAGAATTTTATAAATTGCGCTCAAGTATTTGAAAAGACTAAATGTCTATCCATCTAGCGACTAACGACAAGCATGAAAAAGCACTTGTAATTTGTTCGAATTATTTTTTCACTTTGCAATTTTCTACTTTATTGGTCATTGAATCCGTTGTGAAAGGCTGACGATGACGCGCTATGAGACCAACACAAGTTTTGACACATTAATAAAATTTACCGAACGCAACAGTATAACACGGCTAGGATCGAAGCTATTCATTCGGACTCTTTTACGAGTATATATCGTCATAAACTGAAATAAAGCGTCACGAGGAACAGCCGAGTGCACATAAAATACCTCATCGACAGAGTCTCCATCGAAAATTATAGACGCGCGCGGACGCGTTGATCGTTTGAAAAGGTATCGTTCGATGGGCTATTGAACGGGAAAGTATCGGCGATCGGTGAAAGATATGCGTGTGCGTGTGTGTACAGAGGGACGGGGAAGCTACGCGAGGAGCAGAAAAGAAGAAACGAACGCGCGCGTTTAGGGCCCCCTTAATAATAGAAAGGCATGCTTTTGAGGTGAGAGAGCCGCAGCCGGCAAAAGCGCACCGAGCAGCCAGTTCATGACGTCTTTCTCGCGTCGCCGCCACGCACGGCTGTCCGCTCGCGTTTCATTCACCGCTTATAAATCTCCGGGCGCTCGACTTTAAATAGATCCACAAAGTGCCCGTGTCTCTCCTTGTTCTCGCTTTTCCTCGGCGTCGAATCTCTTCTCTTGGCTCTTCGCGCTTTTTTATCATCGGCCTTTCGCGCACCTTCGCCGGTTTATTTTGGCGGCACTGTTTAGCGCGGCGATTGCACGCGGACGTAAATGTTTTCTCGGATGGAACGACGCGTTTATTTAAAGCCGCTCCCTCCCGGCGAAAGTTATTTTCAAAAGATCTCGCGACCAAGTGAAACGACGAATGCTGAAATGGGACTAATGCGAACGTGTGTATGCACGCAGCGCTGCTGGCTACGGTCACGGGCCGCAAGAAGACGGGCGACGTCCCGGCTGGGCCCGCAGGCAGCAATCCCAATTCCTGGGTCAAGTTCTCCGTGAACGTCAACACGATTTACAAGAGGAGCCGGGACTCGAGAATCTCCCGGGGCACCAGTCTGCTCTACGTGCACTCCAACGATCTTGCCTGCAGGTGTCCCAAGATCAAGCCCAACCAGTGAGTACACGTCGATCTCCAGCGCCAATCGTAACGGCGCCGTCACATTACTCGAACTTCCGAAATTCCAGGTCCTACTTGATCCTCGGCATGGAAAGCGACGGCGTGGCAAAGGACGGTCTGACGGTCACGGAAAGGTCGATCGTGATCGAGTGGCGCAACGAGTGGAGTCGCAGGATGCGTCGTTTCGAAAGAAGGGCGAGATCCTGCCACTGAAAACATTTATACCAGTCAAACGCTTCGTATTAGCTTGGACTACTCGTCTTTATTACTTGGATACGAATCACGAAAAGAGAGAAAATACAAAAAAAAGAAAACATTAAATCATTTGTTTATCATAAGATTCCTATATTTTTTTCAAAAAAACAAAATGAAAAGTAAAAAAGAGAGAAGATCTTTATTTCTGAAAAAAGGAATGAACACAATCGCGAACACAATGCACGAATACAAGTCCTTGTTTTTATCTAACCGCAAAGTAATATGAAAAAGTATATCAAGAGAAAGAATATTATCGGAGTATTCATTTATTAATTTTTAATCATTATATCGCATTAAAGTATAATTTATTTAAAGAGGAAGTATGTAGTATTTCAATTCACACCGTCGCGAGTATTCGAGTTACTATAAATGCTTTTTCTACGATTTTTATATACACGAGCTTTTCGAAAAATTCTATATACAGTTAAACTGTTTTTCTTCCTCTTGTTGAAGATTCAAAAGCCCAATGCCGTACTCCCCAAGAATAAATTTCCAACCGACTAATTTCTTTCTCGCAACGGCTATATTTATTTATTATAATGATAATAATATTGAAATATACGACGACGCAACAACGTCAATCGCGCGCATGACTTTATACATGTAAACAAGATATTCGACTATATGCGTCCGTTAATGTAGATTTTCTTGTACATTTTTATATAAGTACATAATTAATCATCAGTAATATTTAATAAAGGAAACTAAGAGCAATCAGTCGTCCGTGAAGAGTTCTCCTATGTATGAAATGTGAAAAAACACATATCGATTTTCGAAACACAAAGAAACTACCGAAACTAAACATGTAATGTACAAAAGAACAATTGATTGCCGATAAAGAGTTAAAATTTCTATACTATTGTAAACAGCATGCTAAGATTTTCGTTACATGATTTCACACGAGAGAACTCTTTCGAACGGAGGTGATGCGCGTTTCCTTTTTCCGATACTATAATACATTTTTGATGATAGTAACTAAACAAAAAAAAAATAACCAAGCAAACGAATAGTTGACAAGAGCGAAGAGGCTCGAAGTGCCAATTTCCACTAAAGGCCATAATCGTTCACGTACTTATAAATTAATATAATCAATCGATAACCCTAATGAACTGAGATTTTTAGAAATCTCATTGTCGACACACTCTGAATATCTCACGTAATGATAATAAACCGGTTTTTTATATTATCATAGAATGCTTCATTAAAGCTCTTAAAAATTGAATGTTATATATTCTGGTGGAAATGAAGTAACTTCGTAGGCTCAGTAATATGTTGAATACATTGATAATATATTCAAGTTTCATGTATGTACAGAATGTATGATGTTTTTAGAAAAATAAAATCACCGTAGATTCCCAATTCGCTTTTCTTTATTTTCAATCATCGTTGCGTTGAATGCATTTCAAAAGCAATTTTATTTATCAATTTCCCCTTTGATCAGCCTCAATCTAAACCTTCCATAAGTATTGTTTAGACTATATCGTAACTTTTCCTTGAAAAGCTATAAATTTGGCATGCTTCTTTTAATCACATAGTACTCTTTCTTACTATTTTTCTAAGAATAACATGTTGGTCCAGCAATCAGACTGGTAGAACTATTTGAATCTATGCAAGGTGATTTCATTTTTCCGAAAGAGAATAATAATAATAATAATAATAATAATAATAATAATAAGAATAATAATAATAATAATAATAATAATAAGAATAATAATAATAATAATAATAATAATAATAATAATAATAGTTGCCGAGCATCCTTGGATTGATCTTATACGCGAGCGACCACACGATGAATGTGCTAAATTTATACTTCCGGACTTTATTATGCTAGCAACGATAGAATTATAAATCATATACATTATAAACAATATCATCAAAGCAAATTAATCGATCGCTACCGCATATTATCGATATACGACTATGACTAGCTCTCGTTTTAAATTATTATCCTAAGTGTCACGTCGTGTATTGTGGTGTAATAAATGTGATTAGGTAGTTATCGTGCGAAATAAATATGCATTGCGTCGTAAAAATACTATTTAGTTTTCACTGTTTTACCATCCTCGAATTCCTTCATAACAAGGGTTTCTCATCTTTTTATCTTCTCATGTATAAATGCAAATATTGTTACATTTTAGCCAAGTATATATTAAAACAAAAACTAGTTTATTACAGGTAAAATATTCCAAAACTTAACTTGAGCAGTCTACGTAGTTGTACATTAGATTGGCAATCAATATAATAAACACGAACAGTACGGATAATCTTCATCAAAATAACGTTCTATTACAAAACAGAGTAATAAATCAAAGTTGATAACAATTAACCGATCATGACAAAGATATGTGATAGCGCCACTTTTCATAATACATGCAGTTTTGTATAACCAATGTTATATAAAAGATAAAAACCATGCAACATTAGAATGCTGCATAGCTGATGAGAAGTAATAAATTTTCAGTTCTGTAGAATTAGGATAACACTTTGCTTATTGACTGCTATCGACTTCGACGAAGGATATCACAACTCGATTATTTTCTACTATGAAAATGGTCAATAGTCAATTCATTAATGCCTCTTATGTAAGGAATAAATAATGATGTACATTTTACTCCATGTACATTTTAGTCAAAGATTGCATGTTATTGGGAAATTAAATTTCAATACAGAAGATTACATTTTAATTTTCTTCGCATCTCAGAATATAACAAAATGCACATGGAAGAAAACACTTACATAAATATTAGATTTGCCATCAGCGCAATTATGAACATTAATTAGAATGCCAACTGGTTTACCTTCAGATACAAGAGGGCAACTCAAATCAGTCTAGAAATTCGATTGTGATGTACTAGTATTCAAATAATGTGACTGCCTATTTCAGAATTGCAGCTGTATCGATAAATAAAATTTTTTTATGTAACAAGATATTCAATTAAGTCAATGTTATTAATAGAACAATCATAAACTATTTCAAATCGATGAGGAGTAATATATTTTATTTTAATAGAACTAACATGATTTTAAATATGCATTTCAAATATGCATTGGACGTTCAATAACTTTATTACAGTTCAGTTTAATGCGATTTTTAATTATGAAGCAAAATGATTTCGATTGAAAGAAATGGTAATTATATTTATCGTGCAAGCTTCAAAGACGTTCGTAGGCAGATAGCATAAGTGTCAAAATGATGAAGTAAAAAAATTATTTTAACATTGTTTAAACTTCTTTAAACTGCAGCAAAGACTGGTAAATATATCATACGAATCATATTTTGCTCTAAGTGTAATGTTTAATAAAAAAAGTGTTTATAATAAACAAATACGTGGACGATCATCAATTGCTGTCTATAAAAACAACGTAAATCATATTTATATGTAGATAAGATTGGATAAAAAAATATTATAACAAATTGGAATTTTAAGAAATTTATAAGTAACTTAATAGTCCAGACCTGCGCCAATATTCTAATGGGTGTTCATAAATTAAACAAGTTTTATATAAAATTTGTTATTTTTTATTATCAACATTGACAGCACAGCATATTTTTTACCCGTATATCTTTTAAAAAAATTTCGAGGAACTCAAATTATTTTATTTATAACTATGATCTACGATAACGATTCCATTGCGATTCGATGCCGAGCGAGAGAGATAATTTTGAGTGCGCAGTATTATTGCTTTTATTGAGAACAATAAAATTAAAAGAGATAAATACATTATAAAATACAAAATTTATAAATATAGAGTTTATTATAAAATAATAAAAGTGTTAACTAGAAATAATAAAAAAACAGAAACGGCCAGAGTTTGGATATTCATCGTAGAAGTTGTATACCGGTCCTTGCTTTTTAATTATTCTATTTAATTCTCTAATTATAGTCTAATTAAATACATATATTTAAATCTTTTGGTTTTTATTTAAAAATTTGAAGTTCATAACAATAAAAATTAAATTAGTTAGAGTTAATATCATTGACAATGAATTTCAAATAATAGGAAACTTTGGTGAAGACATCAGGAACTCCACCAGCACATCCATGAATTCCAGTACTGATACCAACCAACTGATTTCCGTATGTGAGAGGACCTCCTTGGTCAGTCTACAAGTATAAACATGGAATTATAATAATAATTTACTATAATCATCCGATCGTAATAGTGTCTGTAATTATTTAAATATTGTAGTTCATAATAGCGCAGTACGGATCGACTTGACATTAGCGCATACATATACATCGTGTATATCTGAGCATGTGCGCGTTGATGGTATATCATCATGGTTTATAATCCAACGTATCACTTCCAATCGTTTCTGTTAAATCAAATGAAATTCAATGGGTAGAAAAACGAAAAAAAGTAGTTACCGTGCATGTTGCAAGGTAGTTGTTGGGCGAGGTGCAAATTTGGTATTGCTTCACATTGAGATTTGGAAAGTACTTTTGACATTCTTGTTTGCTGATAGAACGGAGTTTAGCTTTTTGTAAAAGTTCGATGGATGGGCCGCTAGGATTGTTCACGCTTCCCCAGCCCGTGAACAACAGCTCGGAATTTTGAGGTAACTCGGTAATAGCCGGCAGATTGACTTGCTGTACATACCGAGACGGCTGCACATTCTGCCTGAGCTGACATGTGGAAATTCACAATTGATTATAAGTCTGCGGAGTCGGGCAAGTAGGCGCTGGAATTTCAAAGTACATTACGTACGTGGATCATTCCAATATCATTCTCGAATGACGACCATTGCCAATCCCACTGATATTCAGGGTGTAGCGTGACCTTTGAAACGTCGCATACCATACCGTCCTTTCGCAGATTCATTGTGCCCACGATAACTTTCAGTTGATTAAAGAGTTGCGGGTTCCTAAGTATGTTGACCAAGCAGCTGCCAGATGTGACGACGTGTCTCATCGTAACTAGAGCGCCTCCACACACGTGCTGCTCGTTGATCTGCACTGATACCTGGTATGGAAATTCACCGGGTGCAGCAGTGTTTCCGCCTTTGATTCTCAACGACGTGACGTCAGCTAACGATACAAAATATCAGCACGGTTAGGTATTTTACTATTCCGAAGAATATTATTTTTTCTTTGAAATAACTTCACCACGAACGTAAAAGGAGTCCTTGCGACCACGTATGAATTTACCGCACGAATTGTAGGTAAGCCAGGTAGTACGCGCATTTCGAAGATTCCCTTTATTCTCGTGAAAAAGTACTCGCTACTTACCAGAAGTTACTGCACACAGGGCAAATAGGTAAATTATGCGTATCATGCTTCTTACTTTCAGCGAATGCGTTACGTGATAGTGAAGTCAAAGGCAATTGGTACAACAGTATATATGGGTATCAAATTATTCGTAACTGTGAAAATAATGTACATTCATAAGCGTTTTCAATGGCAAACAGTCAACAACAGTGTACTCTTTTTATTGAATTATCTTTTGTAAGATCCCTTTGATTTTTATATTTTTTGCATAATATAAAACAAACAAAAAAGGCATCAATTAACTTTAAGACTTTTTAATGAAATAATTACGTATATAAGGATGTATCTTCAAGTTTGAGCTCAATTAGAAGCTTAGTTGCACTTGCGATGTGTTAGAATTAAGCATCGAATAGTTAATACATTTAATATCTACCTTAGCTCATATTTAAATTAAAAATACTGCAGACAAAATTATATCTTATACATATACTGCCACACTCTTTCACTACTATATAATTTCTTATTTAATAGAATCATATAGTCTAAGTGAAATTATGGACAATTTAATTTAAATAGTCCATATAAAGCAAATTTTGTTAACTATCTTCAATAAACTCTTTATGATTATAAACTATTCACTAGTCTAATGTCGCGATATATATGTATGTACTACTTAAGCAGATAAAAGGAATGAGTCGTATCAGTCACTTTTATAGGCAGATAAAGTTTATTCCAATAGTACATTCTGTTAAATAGAAAAGATTTTTAAAGTAAATATTTTAACGACCCGCAGCTCTGGTATTTTCCTTGTTAGTTGTCAATAAATTTACAAGAACTGTATCAAAATTTATCAAATGTTATTATTAACTTGCAAAGAAATACAGTTTATGATAATTAATGCCATATCGTCTCATTAAATGAGGAGGCATATGATTTTATTCAACGTTGTATTTTTCAAACATACACATATGACAACAAACTTATACCGTCTGCTTAACTCATTAGATAATATTTTTTATCTCTGCTTATTAAATTTTATGTAAAATTATAAATGTGGGAAATGTTTGGATAAATTAGAAAAAGAAACTGACATTGCGCGAGAGTCAATAAGAGCGAAGCTAATTAATTTATGCTAATTCTTATGGAAGCAAAATTGGTCTCATTAAATTTTATAATTTTCGACTATTTATAAGTTGCTTAAGTATATAAAATATGAAGCGAATAATGGTAGTTCTATTCATAGAAAATACATTTCTGTAAATTAATTGTATAAAAGTTGAGACGGTTTATTTAATAATCTGATATTAAATTGTTTTGAAAAAAGAAACGATTGATTCCACAATTCAACTGTACTCAACTGGTCCTCTATTGACTCAACTACGAAACTGTTAATTTCTGTTAAATTCATGTAAATCATCTTCTTTTTTAATAGCATAAAGCGTACCGTTTAAAGATAAGGCGTATTTTCTTTTCAATTTCGGCAATAATTCCGATTTCATATTTCAAAAATAATAATTATTCACGTATATACATGTACCATGCGTGACTGGAGAAGGAGACTGATAATTACGTGATGATTCGAATTCGGTCCGATGAAAAAATTTATTTATAATCTGAAGAATTTTTTAAAAATAGCCTCACGTTTCTTATTTGATAACGAAAACTATGATTTTTTTAAATCTAAAAATTTATTAAATTGCCAAATTTGGAGTTTTTCGAAATCTTTCTTGTTAGACCTGACATCTACATACATTACTCGTAAGATATATAAATTGAAAATATAAAAAGTTGAACAACTTTTCAACAACTTTTCGATTCTGAAAAATTCCAAATATATGTTTCTTTCAATTTCAGACCGTTTTTGTGCTTTCAAAACTTAGCAAACTTTTTCGTTTAATTAATTTATGTCTTGTTCCGTACCGTATTCCAAGCTACTTTTTACGCCGTGAGGTGCTGCTCAGCTTTCTTTCTTGACCACTAGGACGGCGCATCGGTATCGTAAACAAACGTAAATCGTTGGATATAGCGGACGCTCTCTATGGCCAATACTACCAATATATAAGGGGAATGGGCATGGCTGACAAGCTGATCCGCTAATGGCATCAAGCATGGCGCATCGCCAATAGGGCCTTGAACAGCGAAGCATTACTGATACCCGCCCTCGTGCGAAAATCCTTTCGTGGCTTCATCACAGCCAGTACACTAAAGTAGACAGTTGACAGTAGCGCTCTTAGCACCGTGATATGTTTGAGTGCGTCTTCGAAATAGAATAGTTTTACATGACACGACGTACGATATCACACGTTTTAGTTTGTACAAATATACAAAATGTCTTCTCCACTAGAGAGTCTTGAATCGCAGCTTGAAATGTTTATTGAGAATGTTCGACAAATACGTATAATTGTTAGTGATTTCCAGCCTCAGGGACAAAATGTTTTGAACCAGAAAATGTAAATTTTATTTCACCATTGATTTTTAATTTTATCTGTGTTACTATATTGTCATCTGTAAAGCTGATAAGCTTACTGTTTTTTAAGTAGATAGCTTACTTTTCCTATTTTTGCAGACAAGGACTGGTGTCTGGTTTACAAGAAATAGACAAACTGAAAACACAAATACAAGATGTTCATGTGCCGTTAGAAGTTTTTGAGTAAGTGCTACTTAATAAATTTATTTTAAAAACTTCATTTTTAACCTGTTAGTTTGTCAATCACTTATGATATCTTTTCCATTGTACATTGAAATCAAGTTGTAAAAAATAATATAAAGTCTAATTCATTTAGATTAAATATTTCAATGTGCTTTTAAAAGAATCGTTTTAAAATTAAATTAAATTACTAATGTTACAACCTTGATTACGGCAGCTTACAGTGAATATTGGTAAGGTTAGGTTTTGTTACTTCATTTCCAATTTTTAAATAATTAGAAAAGTGATTCTGTAAACATTGAAATTGAATGATTACGAGGTTGCCTGACGTTGTTGACCAAGTAGACATAGAATATAAAATAATAGATTATTTTGTTTCAGTTACATCGATCAAGGTAGAAACCCACAGCTGTACACGAAAGATTGCATTGACAAAGCTCTAACGAAAAATGAGCAGGTCAAAGGCAAGATTGATGCATACAAAAAATTCAAGGCTAACATGCTTGTGGAACTGAACAGAGTATTTCCTAATGAATTAACCAAGTACAGAGCGATTCGAGGCGATGAATAATGTAATGTGCAGCTTTACTTTAGTTTATTTATACCATCCAGATATATTCTTGAAAACATTTACACATCTTGTAAGCTGTGTATAAATCGCCACATCCTTGGAGCATTAGTAATTGTATTGGTTTTTATTTTAATTGCATATTGTAAACATTTCTTTTTATGATTAGTTGATTCATTATACACTTTTTTATTATAATTTATCATAGAAAATTTAAAAACAGTTCAAGTCTGATAATGTAATAAGTCAATGTTTGTGACTCAGGTGATTCATACAATATTTTGAAATGCTAAAATTCTTTTGTAAATACTTGAATTTTTAAAATTGAATTTGAAAAAACTGTAATTTGGTTGATATAAGAATAAATAATTCTTCAATATTTCATACATTACAAACATTTTTTTATTTAAATTATTTGTTTTTCTTATCATGCAAAAAAATTTTTTCTAATTCATTGAAAACTAATATTTATTTTATCTTTGTATTTAATATTTACAAATTAATATAATTATTTTAAATAATTTTTATTAAAAACTTAGGTTATTCACTTTTCTTTTTTATCTTCATATCCTGTTTAATTTGTGTCTGCATTGAGATATTCATATTTTCAATTAAATAAAGGTTTTAGAGCTTATTGCTTGAATCGTATTCTGTAATAAGATTAGTCTATAAGTTCTAGTTTTTACTTGAAAAAATGTTACTTGAAAAACTTATGCACGGCTATAGTTTGCTTGATTGTTTATTCTCAAATTTATGGCTTACTAGTAACAGCTGCAGCACACATAGTCTTGCAAATTAATTAACATTTTAAAATGATTTATTATTTTTGAATTGCACAGTTATATCCTTATTTTGAATATCAAATTTGGTGACATTATTTTTTAAATGATGGGATTAACAAATCACGTTGTTTAGTAACATCGTTAATATTTATCAATCTTTACAATAGCTTGTTCACATTAATTGATTGCGACTGCTACTTTGTAACATGCAGCACTTTGTTTTGATACAGTTTATTTTATAAATTTTATTTAGTAATTGAGTACAGAGTAATGTGTTATTTTGATCTCTTATGATCAAATACTTTCCAGATAAATAAATAAAACTACTTAACATCCAAATTATATCTGTAGAGTCATTTTAGGGTTTGAGTCAGTCAACTGCAGAATATAAGTACAAATTATAACTATTTTGAGAATGAGAAGATTAAAATCTAATGATCAATATTCTTCCTGATTTTATCTTTACAATGACATTTTAATCTTGACTCAAATATATATAATATAATTCTGAATCAGTTGCTTTAACTTTCCTGATTAATCTTAAAAATTCAAGATACAAGCTTCACGTACTTATCGGATTATGGCCTATACTACCAAACTGGATTCTGAAATCAAATAACGCTTTTCTCTTTATTAATCTTTTTATTATTAGTTTATTAGCTTTTTAACTTTAGTCTGAGTATCAATAAAAAATTTTTTTGCTGAAGATTCAAAAAAAAAAAAATTATCGTTTTGTTCTTGCCTGACGTTTTCTAATAAGTTTTGTTGCAACGATTTCTCATTTTTGATAAATCACGAAAATGTTTACGCTCAATAAGCAAATATTGCGATCGATGGATCGCAGAATAATGTACCACAAAGTTGAGGTCGTAAATGACTGCAATGAAAATATAATTGTCCAATTGTAACATTAATTTTGAATGGAATGCTGCAGTTTTTAAATCCAATAGTTTGCAGATGAGAGCCAAGCCGATCGCCAAGTGCCTGACGTCTGTGGGAGAAGGTACGAAGGGCTTTGAACTCGCGCGTTTTTGCAGCGATAATAATAATAACGGTGTGGGCACGATACAAAGAAAGAGAGAGAGAGGGAGAGTGAGAAAGGAGAAGATTTCGGGATTCCGATGTTAATGAGGCCCCACCACCAGTGAGCCAAGGGGACCCGTTTTCCCCGCTCGTCGCTGCCCCTCCTCGATGAAGGCGCGCACGATAAAATCGTTCCTCGGACGGCGCCTTCACAGATGCTATTCTCGCAGGCTCACGCTCGCATTCACCTTCGTCATCGTCACGATGATCGCACTGCTCCTTGGTAGTCTCCTGCTACGGCTATTTGCTCAGGTGTCGACGCAAGATACGCTCTCGTGAGTATTGCATAGTTTTTCCACTTATTTTCACGTTCCTGTGCAGCAAAACTGCATAGCGAATAATTCAATGCTCGACTCACTTGTACATTTTTACAACTTTTTCATAGATCGATTTTTTTATTTACTCACTCGCTTACATTAGAAAAAGCAATACTCTGCTAGTGAAAGTACAACATAAAATGCGTAATCTTCGAAAATTAAAGCTTTTGCCTCGCTAACCGTTCAAAATTAATTTTCTTTTGCAGATGTTACATGTAATATTATTAAGTTATCTATTTTTTCAAATAAAAAACCTTTTCTCGATATAGTGTTTTTTTTACCAAGTTTGTTTTCTATGCGATATATTCTTGCTTTTATATCTGTTCTTTATTGACATTCTTTCGTTACTACAAATTAAACAAATGAAAATCTTTATGACGCGTAAAACAGTTTGTTATTTAATTTTACAAATTGACATTTTATCGTTGCCGATAAATAATTCGATGATTCGAAAACAATATTATATTTGAGGATTTCATTGAGATTAACATTCATTCATATCAGCACCATCAAATGATATTTTTTTTTACATTGTCCGCTTTTTATTTTTTTTTTCCATAATCGTGCTACTAAACATTGTTTGTTTTACCAAAAATATTTTGTCATTCTTAAGAGTGTTGGGGACTCGTATTTTAATTTGTTTATTTGTAAGTCGAAGCAAACGTTAACACGAAATGAAACATTTTAAAAGTCATATTAGTAAAATAAGATTGTATGAAAATTAAAGATAAATCAGGAGTGATTCCCGCAACGTTGTAATTGTTAATGATTGGATGTTTATCACTATGGATAATTAATAATGTATGATTATCAGCATATTGGAAATTTGCAAACAAACAATCTCACTTTCTTTCCAATAAAAAACCAGATTTGGATTTTACGATCTGCCTGACGACTCGTCCTCTGATATTCATAAAGCCATTATGTTTCTGAAAAAAACTGAACAGGTTTACGATGCTTTCATCTTTTAATACTTTCTATATCTTGCCTCCTTTAGTTATCATTTCTTATTAACAGTAGCTGTCACATTAAATTTTAAAGGATCAAAAGTTTTTACAACGTGTTTTATTCAAAACAATGTTCTATCCGTTGCATTTTCGAATCGCTCACTCGATTAAATATGCAGATAATCATAAATATAGAATTTGGAAGTCTTTATTTTCAGAAAAGCATTTGGTGATTCGTGTATTCTTTAAATACTTTATTAAATAATGTATCTCACTAGATTTACTTGACCGTAACGAGGAGTGCTTTGCTAAAAGAGAGTTTATTTGAAAGTTATGCGCTTGGTTTGCTTCTGCTATTTGCAAATGTAAAGTTAAGAACAAGACGAAAGAAAGTGCGGCCAATCGGCAATCGCGACGCGAGCTGAAAGATCCGAGTGAGCCCCTGCTAAATAAAATGCCTTATCTCGTCAGCTCGCCGTGGCACTATTACTGCGAGAGGGGTTTGTGCAAAAAAGCCGAGATAACGGCCAACGTAACGGCTCCTCTGGCATTGAGCGTCTGCCAGATATTCTGCGGCGAGGCCGGTGGTATATGGCCCAAGCCCACGGGCCACGTGTCGGTAGGCAATTTCGCGGCGAAGCTCGATCCCGATCGTATCGTCCTAAGTGGTGTCGATGCCCTCGGCGACGCTGGATCTCTCGTGAACGAGAACGTCGAGAGGCTGAAAAACAACGCGAAAGCATTGGGCGGAGCCAGACTCGCCGCCGGTGGCTACGGGCTGACCATCAACGTTGCCGGTCCACTCGGCGATCAACCTCCTCCCAAGCTCACACTGAAAACCGCCGAGAATTACACGCTGAAGATTACGCAGCAGTCAAGCGGACAGGTACTACGACGAACATTCCTTTTCTTATCAATCGGTCTAGCTTGTCCATTGCTCCATTGCCGTACTGTCGATTATCTTTCAGCTTCTCGCAGACATAACGAGTGAAAGCTATTTCGGAGTACGCCACGCTTTGGAGACCCTTTCGCAGCTCATTGTCTTCGACGACCTGTACCGAGAATTGAAAATTGCGCGCGACGTCTACATCAGCGATGGACCAACCTTCCCTTACCGTGGAATTCTCCTCGACTCGTCTCGCAATTTCATGGACAAAGCTTCTATACTGCGAACCATCGAGGCTATGGCCATGTCCAAGTTGAATACTTTCCACTGGCACATCACCGACTCCCACAGCTTCCCTTACGTCAGCCGTACCTTGCCAAAAATGTCCCTCTACGGTGCTTACACTCCTGACAAGATTTACACCGAAGCGGATATCAAGGAAATCGTGAGGTTCGGACTCGTTAGAGGTGTCCGTGTTTTGCCGGAGTTTGATGCCCCTGCTCACGTCGGCGAAGGATGGCAGTGGGTACGTTACAACTCGAATTTTTGTCCTCCTTGCAAATAAATACGACCAACAATTATGGATTTTTGCAGGTCGGTCACAACGCGACGGTATGCTTCAAGTCAGAGCCCTGGCAGAAGTTCTGCGTCGAGCCGCCGTGCGGTCAGTTGAACCCGACCAGCGAAAAAGTCTACGAGATCATGGCAGCAATTTTCACTGACATGCTCCGCGACTTCAAACCCGACTTTTTCCACATGGGAGGTGACGAGGTGAACATAAACTGCTGGAACTCATCCGGCATCATAACCGACTGGATGCTCAAGAGAGGATGGGATCTCTCCGAGGCGAGCTTCTACAAGCTCTGGGACTACTTTCAGACCAAAGCTTACGACAAGCTCACCAAAGCGAACAACGGCGTTGAACTCGATGCCGTTCTGTGGACTAGTGGTTTGACGAATGAGGAGAATATTAAGCACATTGATCCCAAGAAATACATTATTCAGATTTGGACCACCAAGTTCGATGCTACTATTTCGCGATTGATTAGGAATAACTTTAGAGTTATTTTCTCGAATTACGATGCTTTGTATTTGGATTGCGGGTGACTATTACATTTTGTTTACGCTAATAATAACCATGAATATTCCGTGCCAATGAATAACGATGCTTTCTTTTCTTTAGTTTCGGTGCATGGGTAGGCGAAGGCAACAACTGGTGTACTCCATACAAAGGATGGCAAAAAATTTATGACAATTCTCCGATGCAGATTCTGAAAAACCAGGGCTTTACTAATGAAATTAAACACCTAGTACTCGGTAAGCTAATCTATTCATCGATTCGCATCACTTATACTTTGTTTTTCTTTCATAAAAGCGTCTTTAACGCAACAAATGTCATCGATAGGCGCTGAAGCAGCTTTGTGGTCTGAACAAGTAGATAGTACGTCGGTAGACTCGCGTCTCTGGCCACGTTCAGCAGCTATGGCCGAACGTCTCTGGTCTGACCCGTCCTCGACATGGATTCACGCCGAACACCGGATGTTGAGACATCGCGAGCGACTTGTTCAACGCGGTATCCTCGCCGACAGTCTTGAGCCCGAATGGTGCTTGCAAAATCAAGGCCACTGCTATTCGTAAATCTATGTGAAATTGTACGTGCTGCTGCCGTGTGTATTGTAATTTGGACCTATCGCGCGTGCACGATGAAAGTGGGGGAAAAAAGTGATTCGGGATACTATGTGGGAAGGCTGTGAATAAGACATTTTATGATACATACCTTATATAAACTTACCTCGGTTTTTCTAACTTTATAATTGCTCTTGATACATGTTTTTACTAACAAAACATTTGTATTCGTATTTCTTGCATCGCTCTCTCACACTAAGCTTTTTCAAATAAAATCAAAATATTTACTATCAAAAAATACATTTATTATTTATACGTGATCACAAAATGAAAGGTTTGAAATAAATAAAATAAATGTAAATTTTTTGTGTTTATTTATCTTTCCACTTCTCTAAATGTACCTACATACACTATAAAAATATTTACTTAAAAATTGATAGTATCCTGAACTTAAAAATGTAAAATACGCCTGCAAAATATACAACCGTACAAATGAAAGAAGTTTAGCTATTTACAAATATGTAATTATAATGTCGAAAAATTATGCAATTTGTAATATGATAACGTAAAAATAGAAAATTACACAATTTTCATGACTAGTTAAACTAAAATTTCAACTATGTAACTGGATATTAAAAGTTTTCATTAAAATTCTTATAAAATTCTTCATAAAATTTGTTAAAAGATATGTACATATATACAAGCATCTATTTCTAAAAAAAATTAGACTTATTTGTAAGCTTCCAACAAAGTTTCAGCTGTATGTCGATGATTGATATTCTAGTGGTTCTGAAAATTACGTATGTGAAATTACGTTATAAAAATGAATGATACCAAACGATAATAAGAAAAAATTACAACCATAAATCGTAAATGGATGCATATTATAACTTCGACATTTGTCAACATTTTTATTTTTTGGTGTTTTATTTAGAATTAATGCGTTTTTTAAGGCACAAAATTAGTCTCATTATTACAAGTTTATATACGCTTAAAATCTATTGTCACTAAATTTTAACGCCAGCGTTATTGATAAGCATCTGATGGTTTATTAAAAAAGTATATATATATACATCCTTTTAGTCAAATTCAAAAACCCCTTTGAATAATTACAAAAAGATACGTCGTCATCGTGACAATTAAAAGAAAATCTTCATCCAATATTGCAAGAATTATGTCATAATTAATTACTTATGATCTAATGACAAACGTGGCTTGCGAAAAATATTGCTAAATCTACGAGTGCTTCGTCGCGAAGTTTCAGAGCCATTGCGGGTGCGATCTCGCCGTTTGACCTTCTTGCCAGTAAGTAAACTCTGGCTCAGACTGTCATTGAATACCTCTTCCGAGGCAGATCCCTCTGGAGGCCCCGTCTTTATCTCATCTTCTGTCACAGGCAACGGATAGGACTGCATCTCTGCGGCATACGACGACTTCAAATGCGGCTTGCACTTGGCATTTCTTGATTGCAGTATAGACAATCTGTCCAAATCGTTAGGTGGTGGAATGTTTTGTGAGCGTTGCAGTTCCGAGAGATTGTACGTCGTATCGAAAAGCTCTCCCTCCTCATCCTCTGTTCTAAAGGCGTTGCCCATTACTTGGAAATTTCGAACATTTTGCATCTTACTTACTGATGATATTTCGAGCTGCTGCAGAGGTTGACGTTCTACTTCAGCTTTCAAGACTTTATGATCGTGAATCTTCGGTTCGTGTTTCGAAATTTTAGAGTTGTGAGCTTCCATTATATCTAGCTTTGTTTTCAGGTCTTTGTATTTTTGAATGATTTCTTCCTTTCTCTGTTTCTCGATTAACAGCTTGTCGCCTACTTCCCATAATTGAGTCGATAATTCACTAACGTGTTTCTTGTACTTTTTCAACTCTTCTGAATGATTGTGACATTGTTGCTCCAATTGTTCTTCTAAAGCTTTTAATTTTTTCATCGTAAATCCGGACTCTTGTTCTTTTTTCAAGGCAATTACTTGATTATTGAAAACTGATTTCATTTTCTCTTTCATTTTTTCAAGCTTTATCTCATATTTTTCATGTAATTCCTTCACGTAGTTCTGAACTTCTTCCGATTCTAATATGCTTCTACTGTTTTTAGCAGTTTTATTGAGGATACTTTCTCTACTCTCTTCAGTTTGATGTCGTAAAATTTCTTTTTCTCTACTTATTTTGTCTTTTATATCAGCATCTTCAGTGATTTGCATATTCTCCGTTTGCACTGAGACATTTATAGATTCAGTCTTGATGATAGACTTTGTTTCTGGATATTCTACTGAATTATAAGTTTGCATAGAAATATTTGTGCATGTAACAGGAATTTGTATTTCGATTGGTTCTAAAATACTAGTTTGAAGAGAAACATTTGTAAACTCAGTTAAATTATCCGTTTGCAAAGAAGTATTAGTGTACTCAGTCTTTACTGCAGGGTGTATTTCAGCCTTTATTATAGTTTCTGTTTGTAGGGATACATCTATGCATTCGATTTTTTCTACTGGCTCAGATTTAATAAAGCCTAACATATCTTCGGTTTGCATAGAAATATCAGCACATTTCGATTTTATAGTAGGTTTGGGTTCATCAATAATATTATCTGTTTGTAAAGAAACATTTGCATATTTAATAGCTTTTATAGGCACTAACTCTAAAAATTCTGTTGGTTCTTCAGTTTGTAAAGAAACATTCATAGATTCTCTTAGATCTTCAGTTTGTAAAGAGACATTTACATATTCAGTTCTGATTTCAATATCTGTTTCAAGTGGATTTGTGTAGCTATTTGTTTGCAAAGAAACATTTATGTAGTCATTTTTTACTATAGGTTCTATTTCTAGCAATTCTTCCGGGTTTTCTGTTTGTATACAAATATCAGCATATTCAGTCTCAACAGTAGGTTGAGTTTCTATCCATTCCGTTTGCACTGAAACATCAGCCCATTCAATTTTTATTGCAAGCTTTGCATGAATCGACTTTATCATATTTTCAAAATCATTTATACTTTTCTTGATATTGACAATTTTTTCAATACATTTAGAATGGGTCAGTATGTCTTCTGAATTCTTTCTTTCTAACATGGAATAGTTTATATTCTCTAGAGTTATTTCTTCATTCTTACTTTTATTTATTTTGGTTGTTAGCTGTGTAGCAGTAATGAAACCAAAAAATAAGATTTTAGAATTCATAACAAAAATCTTATTAAACTCATTGTCAATTTCATCCTTCTTTCCCAAAAGTTCTCTTACATCATCACTTATATAGTTTTCATAATTTCCAAGCGATTTTGATACAATATTCCATTTCTTTTCCAAGAGAAGTATGACTTTATATATTTTCAAAGTATCTTTTATATTATTGTACAATAAAATCCAATCTAATCGGATTGTTTCCAAATCTTCTTTAGTAATCAGTGATGCTTTATTAGCTTCATTTTTATTGTATAAATCTTGCAAGCACTTAATCAAATTTTTTTCTAGCATTGTATCTATCATATGATATTTTACCATAACTTTTTCATGATCTGTTGTATTATTTGTAATATTCCCAGAGGTAATATTATTTTCAAGTAAAGTCTTAAAAAATATTACTAAATTTTTGCGCCAAGTTTCTTGCCAAAGAATATCATAGAATTTGAAAACAATCCTATTTTTATCAATAATGTTAATACTTTTATCTCCTTGATATTTTTCCAAGCTTTTCACAGTATTTGAATATTCAGAGTACATAATGGAATTGTTCTGATCACCTTTTGCAAAATTAATGTAATTATTCAATTTCTTAACTCCTTTGCTCTTATTAAATTGATTTAAAAAATTTAATAGCAGTGACTTCATTTTTTCTGAGTCTCCTTGTAGTATTTGAGTGATATTCTGCTTGATTTCACTCAAATCTAATTCATTATAAGTTTGTAATTGAGATTCTTTTTCTAGCTTCTTTTTATTTAAAATATGTTGCAGCTGTTCATTAATAATTGTATACTTTTCCTCATTTGCAGCTTTAATTTTAGCATTATCATTGAATAACATTTGAACAGTTTTTTTTAATTTGATATATTCTTCTATGATTATTGTCAGCAAAGAATTTATTCTTTTGTACTTATTTTGTGCTTCAATTATTTCCCTTTTGGCATCTTGCAATTGAATATCAATAACAGAACTTAAAGTTTCACTGTTATTCATAGAATTTTCTAGAACTACTTTGTCATCTACATCAAAACTTTGATTTATGAATAGAGGTTTTGATTTTTCTTTTAAATAGAGACATAATTCTTCATACTTAGCTTTTAATTCAGCTAATTCATTATCTTTCCCTTCAATCTGAAATAATAATGACTCAATCATTTCCTCGTGTTTTGAACTTTTTTCCTCTATTGAATTGTATTTGTTTCGACAGATCTTCAATTCATCTAACAAGTTAGTTTTCTCATCTTGTAATTTGAAATTATCACTTTGTAATTCTGCAACATAATTCTCTAAGCTTTGCAGTTCTTTTTCATATGATAATTCTAAGGATTTCGGAGTTGTAGGTTCATAGGAACCATTGAAATCGTTACTCTTTAAACTATCTTGACGCAAATTTTTCAATTCTAATAATGTCTCTTGCAACTTTTTATGTAAATCATCAATTTGTTTTTTTTGAATTTTAATATCTTCTATAAGCTCACACTTTTCATAGCGTACTGTTTCAAGATCTGCTTGAAGGTGACGTATTTGTTTTGTCTGCTCATGTATTTTACTGTCACTGTGCACTGATCTTGTAACTGGGGAATTCAAGAAATTTTCCAGTAAATATTTAGGTTTTGTAGAAAAAGATTCTGTTGAAGATTTATCTAAAAGTGAAAATGTTTGATACAGATCTTCTATAGTCACCTTTTTTCCTAGAGGATATACAGATTCTAAGATTGATTTAATCATAATTTGAATATCTAGGTTCAGATTTGTACACAACGACTTATGAAATACAGGTTCTAATGATAATCTTGACAAAATGAGTAGAGCAATACATAATCTTTCTACTGTTTTAGTTTTTGTTCCAAGCACAAAATTTGGATATTCATCCTCTAAAAACTGAATTACAATTTCTTTTTCACTAACTTCATCATTATCAATTTTCTGTTTAAAACTTTTCACTTTATTAATTAATTTTAAATATTTTTTTCCATCTTGCAATTCTTCTATAGATTGAACACAATCTCCTGTACCGATAAGTAAGCAATTTATCCATTGTAAAATTAAATTGTCCCAGGATTCCATGTTTATGTAAATTTTCAAAGTTGTTGACAATTGAAAGCTGTGTTATTAGTGCATTTTTATTGCAAGATACTTTCAGAACTATTGATTACACCATCAATAATTCAATTGTAAGATTTCTAGTCACCTACAATAAAAAACAAACTATACTAAAAGGCAATATCAAAATTTAAAACGTTAAAAAATACAGAATTGAAATGTTTAAAAGGTAATGAATATTTGAATTCATGTCAGATTCTCAAACAACCGGTGCTAGACGCATGCGTAGCAACGGCAACTTTTAAAAATTTTGATGAAGGCTATAGCAAAGCCGATCTGAAGAACAAACTAATTCGTTAATAGTAGCACACATTTTATGCAAGCATAACTATCAAATGCGGTACTCAACGATTGCAACGGGTTTTAAAAATTTATGTCAATGTGTACGAGATCAAATGCATCAGAATTTCCAAATAAAAACTCAAGATAGTACAATAGAGTCAACAACTTACGTGGATGTTCCATGAATTCTCTTATATTCATTATATCTTATAAATGCCAACAATGGTTCTTCGTTTTTTGATATATCCATAGGACAGTATCTTGTGATTTGTTTAAAAGTATAGTTGGTATATTCAGTTACTTTGTTTACTAAAATGTTTCCAATAGTAAAATCTTGTAAAAAAAACAGAGAAGACGCCACCGACCATCACTACCATAGCCGCCAGCCACTATGAAATGGAGGGTGATGAAAGCTGAAAGTATAGAAAAAGTACACGCAGCGCCACTACCGAGCGTTCATTGAACTTAAATTTTTGAATAGAACGTGAAATTGGACCCTCAGTTGCAAGGATAAGGTATACAATTAGTTTTTTAGTAATGAAGTTTATAAATAAACACGTCTATTTTTTTTCAATTCAGTGTATTTTAATAGTTGAGCTAATAGTAGTTTTCTTTTCATTTTTAAAGTTTCAAAAAATACGCATAAATCATTTATTAATAGTTTTATTTTAATGGTCATTCAAGTTAACGGTTGAACTACTGAAGGTTCTTTTCTCATTTTCAAAGTTTGAAAAAATAAGCATTAATTAATTATTGATAGTTTTGTATTTTATGTTTATTAGTTTCATAAATATAAATATTAGTATCTATTGTTAAACATCTGCATCTTTACGCATGTATGTACACAATCTTACTGTGAAGTACATAAGCTATAAATTTCTTTGTCCTTTATATGAAATTAGATAGCTTGAAAAATATATTTTGGATAAGCATAGTTATGTTAACGATGTTATACTTAGAATAATTGATACAAAAATACTCGTCAAAAAATGGATAGAATCTCGATCTTATCTTAATTTAAAAATCGCAAAATAATGAAAATGTCGCATGCAAAAGTATTCTCAAAATTAATTGAGCAGTATCCAATAAAAAAAGTTTGCACTTATAGCCAGTATTATAGTAATACTATGAAATTAATTGATAGTGTAGTGTTGACAGACATATCTTTGAATTAGATATTAAAATTCAAGGATAAATCTGGAACAGTAGAAAAATTTAACGAACGTTGATTTTCATTTATTTGTATATTTTTGGGTTGTTGATGAAAGCAATCTTCTTCTATTGAATTCTATTTTAAGAATACTTTATATGAATTAAAAAGAATATAGTTGTCAATGCAGAGAATTTTATACGTGACAAATAACCAGAGTAAAAGTTGACAGTTGAATACAATGGCCATAGAATATGTTAATAATTTTCCAATTTTCTAGAAAATTAGTAAAAGAATTACATCAATCGTTTTGATTCAATAATTCTAACACTAATGCGTATACATAATCAACACTAAATTCTAAAATCCAATTGTTATTGCGATAATTTGGCAGTTTTGTACGGCGAAACATTCTGAACAAAATGTTTCGTCAAATATGGATTTATTAAATTATCATAACTTACAATTAAAATTTAACGTAGTTTTGGTTTTCAAAAGTTTTAACGCAGTAATTCTCTGATAAAAAGAAGTTAAAAATTCAGTCGAGAAGTCAATTACATCCATGTGTACTCCGGTCACCAATTAATTACAACAAAATAAAATAAAAACATCTTGTTTTTACGGTTGATATCTTGGTATCCACGAATGAACTCTCCTGTGCCTACCGAACGTGCATCTAGGTTCGACAAGGGCCAATAAAGCCAAAGCAGCACCCAGCAATGACACACCGCATAAGGCACCGGCGGTGATGTCGTGAATGGGTGTACCTGGTCGTGGTGATTTGGCTGCTAGTAATAAAAGACCAGCACAACTAAGTGCTGATAAGCCGGCCAAGCCCAGGCCGGTCCAGGTGCGACGCATGCTGCGACAGACACCTGCCAAAGCGCAACAGGCTCCGCAGCTTATCGCGCTGTCGTAGTAGTATCTGGAAAAGAGCTCGCGAGAAACCATCAAAACTTCGACTTCGTGGCAATCGGATGAATCCTTATAGAGTTAAGAATTTGGTAAATTACCTTCGGCCTTGTGTATACGATAAATAGATAGCTAAGCCACAGGTGAGAATGCCAACGAGAGCGAGGATGATCGGTGCATTTTTTCTGTCTGATTTTTCGGTATTGCTCATCAGTGTGGTATTGGCATCGCTGCTCATTTGAGGCGATAGCGGTGGGACCTGAAAGTCAAATAAAAGAATCGTCATTATGAAAGATTTGCGATTTATAGAATGCGAGCACTGGAGACTAGAAAAAATAAACTCACTACCGCTGTGCGTGCGATGAAAGCAGCCTCGGGACCCTGATAAAAGCCAGCGGCCTTCTTTTCGGAGTAGATAACCGCGTCCTCTTCGATTTGTAGCCTGTGCGGTTGCCCAGTCGGCATTCCAGTTCGTCCATAGTGTATACCACTATCGTCGACGTAACGACGAGTGGGCGTGGAAGCCTGGTGATCGTTCAATGGCAGACAGCGACGAGCCGACGGTGTCTCCTTGTTAGGGGTCGAGGTCGTCAGGCCTTTGCTCCCGCGTGGCGACAGCACGCGATTCTGCGGAGTTGCTTGATGCTGCTGCTGCTGCTGATGCTGTGGATGCGCTGGCGAGTTCATCGCACGCTGACCTGACCGACAACAAGTGAGAGGAACGAGTGAGTGGGGCGCGCGGGCATTGTTTTCAATAACGAATGGTTTGCATTATCGCGCGGCTTATTACATTTCTCGGCCTTTACATTGCATTCTATTCTGGCGATTCTGGAGAATGAAGAGGTATCATGTATATCAATTGATCTTAAAGATCTTTTCCGAGACTCGATAACAGCTTGATACTCGGCCGAGTGTTTTCAATTGGAAGACGAGCGGAGATAAATTTAGCTCGAGTTGTTTTGAGCAAAATAGTCTATATTAAACGGAATTCGCCATAAGACATCGTGCAAATAAGAAAAGCCAAGTTGCAAAGTGACGGAAGCGAAGAAAGAGAGAGTGCTGCATTCTCACCTGCTCCTGATGGCGAGCACCCAGGTGTGTAAGCGCTGCGCTGCACGAGCGCGGCATTATGTATCGCAGGTTGCAGCTGATATCGTCCTTTCGGGCTATTGACCGGCGAAAGCGGATCGCCCTGCGAGCGCGTCCTCGGCTTTCTCGGAGTGGTCAAAATCTCGTGGAGCTTCTGCGTGGCCAGGGTGGCGTTGACGTGCTGCGAGGGCATTTCGTGAGCGTTGCGCTCCGGTAAGTTGGGCGGCTCCTCGTCCTGCATCGGCAGACTCGTGTAACGGCCTGCACGCGCGCGCGTGTGTGCGAAAGACGGAAGGATGGATTATTTGCGAAAAAGCGTAACGTACGCCGCTTCTTTGTGCGGGCGATTCTCCCAAGTCCGCGCACTCGGAACCAATTCGAAAGCACCACTTTCTTATTCTCCGAACAATTCTCAAATACAATAAAAGTTCTCACCTCTGGGCGTGTTGATCTGTCTTCTGGAGTTATTCCAATCATGAGTGTCATCCTCGGTCCACTGTGCGGGATCGTGAGGAGCGACGCCATCCGGAGCCAGGCTCGTGTAGTGAGCGTCGGTGCTTCTGTAGGACCTGACCGATGCTCTGATCGAGCTAGGCGCACTCGAGATCACCTGTTGTCGCAAAGGTGTCGTGAGCAGCCTTGGAGGCGGCGGTGTTTGCGTCTGTTCGATGTATTCGTATCTGGACGAGTTGCTGGAGGCGACAGCGGCCATCTGCTGTTGTTGTTGTTGTTGCTGTTGTTGATGCAACTGCTGCTGCTGCTGCTGCGCAACTTGCACCTGGACGGTCGCATCATCGTGGATGTACTCGTAACGGTGAGTTCTGTAGGCGTAGGCACGCGCATTGCCGAGGGGCAGACTGCCGTAGCGTTTTGGCGTGGATGCTGGGGGCGATGGTTGCTGCTCCTCGATGTAACAGTAGCGCTCGGCATTGGTTGTCGTGCGATTCAGAGCTGCGATGCTCCGGTTGTGGTCTGGTTGAGTCGTTGCAATGTCAACTTCTGGACTGCCGTGAAAAGCTGGATTGCTTTGGCCGTACTGTGGTGTGGCTGGCTGTAGGGCTGGTGGTGGTGGTAGGTCATCAACCTGATTGTTTTTCAGTGGAAGTTAGCCTTCTTATTGTGAATTTTGTATTTGCATATTATGATTCATTCAAAGAAAACAACGGCGTTTTGTAGGCTGCATTTTAAAGACTTGAAATACAAGTCGGCAGATATTAAAACTGACCGCCGTTCATCACATTTAAATTCTCGGTATCCGGTTTGTAAATAGAGATCTGACTTTGGAAACCGGACTCTTTCAAAAGCACAGCAATCACCGTAAGGTTGTGCCTTTTTTATTTTGTATTTACAAATTATTCCTTGGATGAATAATTACATTGAAAGTCGCATCCGACTAACGTCTGTGTAGATACTTGCTCTGAGGGAGCTTATCAAGAGACAACAATCGCGCAAACGCCCCTCCCGAACCCGCAGTAACTGATAACTCGGTAGGTGCAAACAATGCGCTCTCATTGCGGATACGTAAGAAAGTACAGACAAGTAAAAGCGCTCGATAATACATCTACGCTCGGAAAGCAATTATCGAGACCTATGAAAATCTGGAGCTATAATCGAGTCTTTCGACGCGCACTCTGCTTCATCATCACCGTCATCCCTTGATGTTAACCACAAGCACGTTCGCGCTCTCCGTACCACGAAACGTCATAACATCACACCTCGTGAAAACCCCACTAGTCGTTTGTCATTTTCTTTCAAACATGCGCTCTATGCACATCGAAGTTCCCTTGGATTTTCAGATAAGTGTGAATTATCAAAATTGTACTATTGATTAAAGAAAAGCGAGGGAAATGATTAGTCATTTCCCCGAACGAAATTTCTCGCTTGCTTGATACCTGGTGCAGGAAGCACGGGCTACGAGGGAACTTGTAACGATTTTCCGTTAGCTTCGCGAGCGACAAAGTCCTTACCTGAAATTGCGGGGGAGGCGGCAGGTCGGCAGAATCGCTGTCCTCGGGTATGCACTCGGATTGCCTGCAGAACGATGGGTTTGTGTAGCAATGACCCTGCGTCGGCTCCAGCCTCTTGTCCATATCTGCCATTCTGTCGATACTTGGTCGCTCCTCCTCGATAATCTTTGGTACGCGAGCTGCGTGCACGCCTTTGAAACGCACGCGCGACCGTCAATTATGCAACGCTCTGTCTGTCATATCATCACTTTCTCACGAGGATGATCATTACACTGCTGACGTAGGTGGGCTGCCAGGAGTGTCCAAGCGAGTAACTGACTGTAGTGCCGATCGGTACCGCCGGCAGACTATAACTATTGTCCTGCTGTCTACTCTGGGTTGGGGGCTTTTTGCACATTATTGTTGCACTCGACAATCGACACTGTCAAACATCACAACAATAACAAAATAAACGACAAACTTTTTTTGAAAATCGGTGAGATAAGCTGTTATATGTACGCGCGCACGCACGCATGCACGCACATACACGCACACATACACACGCAGTTGTAAGCGAGAAAGAAGCTTGCCGGCGGTTGGCTCGTTACTGACCCAACTCGAGTAACAGCCAGCGCTCAACGGCCGCGACCGAGCGCGAGCGGCAGATGTTCGCGCGAGGGGAGCAAAGCCCCGTCGGTCGTCCCTCTCTCTCTCTCTCTCTCTCTCTCTCTCTCTCTTTCTGACTTGCAATGCAGGATGCAACCGCGGCGCGGCGCATGGAAAGCATGGCGCGAGAAGGAGAAAGTGAGAGGTGTACGTACCAAGAGCCAAACCGTCGACGTGCGCACTGCAGAAAGGAATCATTTATGCATGCTCGCGTCTTTCCTCTTGTTTTTTGTTTTTCCTCCTTCGGCATATATAACTTTGAGGCGTTTTTATTGGAATGCCGCAAGCGTGAGCTACGCGCTGTTTATGCCCTTGATTTTACGCGCGGGCGCGCGAGAGGAGCTCCTTTTAGCTTTTACTGCGATTCCAATGAAGATTGCACTCATATAAGGAAAGTTGTTTCTTTATGCTCTGTAGTTTCGGCCAATTTTCTCGTATTCCAACATGATGCGTCCGTGGGGTGCTTTCCATTGGAAATTTCGTTCATTGTAGCAAACAAGTAAAATGAAAATTGGTTTTCAATTCAACGAAAGGAATTTCATTGCATTAATTCAAACAGGTCCACTTGTTCAATTCATTCGATTGTGAATTAATCCCACCGACTCGTTAACTTATTTTAAATTATCTTCGACTTGTCAGCCAGCTCAATAAAGAGAAAAAGCTTTTAAAAAAGGCGTGAAAACTGAGAAGAAAAAAGCAACTGGCGCTATTAGTGAAGTCGTTGCTAGAACGTAATGTTATCTAAACAACCCAAAGGAAACGGAAAAATTTAAAGAGCATACCGACAGACTAGTAAAAGATAGAACGATTGGGGGGGGGGGGGGGTATAGAGGCCCGTTGTTGTAGCTTCGCCTGAACACACACGTGTACTTCTAACGGACTTATGCTTCGTTTGGAGGGGACTCGTGCATCGTTGCGTTGCTTACGTGCCACGGCGGCTTATGATATAGCTTCGATCGGACTATCGGATTCGTCTGTTTGCACAGTTTTATTGATAAAGAAAGCCGCAGTGTGGTCAACAATGGGATATGGCTCGCTATTAATTGACATCACACTATATTCTGACCGATCCACATTGGCTATATGCATTTGTTTGTTTGCTGAATTGTATTTGGTTTTAGAAAGCAACACAGTCTGATCACGAATATGGGACGTTTTGTTTCGAATTGTTTTTATCTTGATGAATGATGATAGAAGCAAAGGAAAGCAAATGAAATGGTAAGTAATTGAGTATCGAATGCGCTTGGTGCCAGCAACCACTTTTAACATACTTTTGTGAAAAAAATAAAGTAAAGTAGTGCAATAAATTGACGGATTTTGAGAAATCTAAAATTCAGAGCAATATCAAGTGAAACCGGCACGGCAAGCACTTGAGAGGCACACGTATATATATATATGAATTGGCAACGATCTAAAAAGAGCAGTATGCCCAAAAATAACAGCCAAAAACTGGAAGGATCGAGCCGCGTAACATCTGCGTTTAAAAGGAAGCGCTTGCTCGCGGAGATTCCACTTTTCCAACCAGGCCCTCGCGCGCGTCGAATGCGTACACAACAGGCGACGACGCTGGTGGTGTGCGCGCGAGCGAGCAGCTGGCGGTGAGCGACCGTTGGCGCGTGCCCCCTTTCACCGCTACACTCGCGAGCTCGTATACATACATCGAGAGACATCTGCCTTCACCTCGAGCGCGTTGCATACATATAGCTGTGTGCATGCGCGCGTGCCGCCACACAGCGTATTTGAGAGCACGAGTATGTACGCTGAGAGGCGCGAAATGTTACTGCCCCCTCCCTCCCCCCAAAACCAATACATATTCGACGAATGCGGCTGCTGCAGAGTTGGCTCAAAACTGTTGTCCGTAGGCTAATTTCCAATTTAAAAGCCTCTGCCAACGTCGATTATTTTTCTCATGGCAGATTTCAGAATCATAACGATATTCAGCTGTTGATTTGATGATACTTAATTTTGATGATGATACTATACAACGGGTTTTTCTTTTACAGTTGAGGTATGTCGTGAAGCATCTCGTAAAACATATTACGCATCGACAAATGTGTTTCATTTAAAAAAAAGCCGACTTCGAACTTTGCATTCACTCGCACAACGTATTTTTCAATCCAATTGGTAAAAAAATGGTAATGAAACCATTCAAGGAATACACGTTTGCGAGTGAGCCCACCCCCGATGAAATTGATTGAATCGTTTCGCAGAGGTATGCGCGAACGTGCATAAACCAATTCCGGTCGAATACAGAATCTTTTCAAGCTGGCAAAAATGCCTGTAAGATGTCTAATTATAAAATTAGTTACTTCAAATATACTAACTTTATTATGACCTTTTACTTTCTTTAGTTTTGCTCCATTTTAGATTATTTAATGATTTTTGTACTCTAGAAGTGCAATTTTTGAAAATAATTGAAAATAATTGAAAATAAAATCATTGAAAATAATTAAATGAATAAATAAATCAATAATTTAATTATATATTCTTATATTACTCAAATAATATAAGGTATCACAATAAACAGATTGCTAAAGTTGTACATAAATTATTGTATTCGGACTTGGAAACCTGATATAAATGAATACCTACTAATGTTTGTTATTTGACTTACCGTGTTTCACCGAACTTTTCAATGTCTAACAGCGTAAGATAAAAGCGGTTATATATTGTCGATTTTTATTCATTAAATGAAAAATGTAATAACAATTTTCTACTTTTCCATCAACTGTTTTTTTGTCAATAAAAAAGTTATAAATGTAAGATTTTCACAGATGTGAAACTGGAAGTAACTTTAAAATATTTATTGATTGACATCTTGTTAATTTTATTTTGAATTAATCAGAGAAACCTCAACAACTAAATCAGTAGAAATTTAACGTTACGGTTGAATAATTGTATATTCAACTATTGAAAACAATCAGAATCTTTTTTTTCACGTGACGTCAGTATGTAATTTATATTATGAGATAGAAAATGGCAAATATATTAAGTGTTAGAATTACGTGATAATAATAGCAACAAATTTGAATTAACTAATTTTTAGATAACAGCTTAACTGATATGTTATGTAGAATAAACTATGAATTTTCTTCCCAATTAAGAGATAGAATTGAAATTTTTAGTGGCTATCATCACTTTCTTTGCCTCAGTCCACTATGATTTACATAATATTTTCACATAAACAAATACATAATTATACTGTAAATGTACAAAATTGAAAAATACAAGGAAAAAACAATGCAATCATTGCAGTATAAAAACTAATTTATTTCATTATATTTCCGCGGTAATAAATATGGAACTGACTTTTAATAGACATATCTTATATAGAAAGTTATTTAGTTTTACATGTGAATAAGTTTTTTAAACACTTTTCATTCCGTATTTTCTTGGAATTCGCGATTTTGAAAATTGTCAGTATTATGTTTAAAAATACACAGATAGTTTATTTTTTTCCTTTTGAATATTTCTGTACGGTTTTCGAAATATATATTTTTAAAATATCTGTGTTTCATTTCAAACTTAGGTCAATCGTAATAAATTAAGTTGTGATTGGTATGAAGAAGAATAATTCAACACAAAATACATCTTGCTATTAATAAACCACAGCTTCATTTAAAAGTGCTAACTATTAAAAAACAGGTACTTCTTGTACAGAAAGGACTATTATAATAGTACTTTATGATTCGATTAATATAGTATGTTCAGTATATAGATATCGCATATATATTGCGCAGTATACTTATAAAACTATTGATATTTATCCATAAAATCTATATAACAAAATTAAATAAAAATCAATATTGTCATTGGTCGAGTGATGTTTCAACGAGTAATCCTATAACAAGTAGACGTTGTTAAAAATATAATAGTGCTGTTTTATACGATGTATACATGTGTTATATTTTATAAACTATTTTTATGTGAAGAATTTATATTGCATTACTTTTAAAAAATCATTGTTTTGGTTTAGCATTAGATTTATGCATATATTTTTTGAATAAGGATAACTCTGAACGAGATTGATATGTTTGTAAACATTTCAAAATAAATTAAAAAATCTACGCAACTTAATGTTTTACCGTGCTTATATAGAACTTAAATATATATTACAAACTTGTACAGCTGGATACTAGATAAGTTTCGTTGCCTATAGAACAAAAGCAAATCTTATTTGAGAAAGTGACAAATTAAACCATTAGTCCGCTCATACAATCCATAATCCACATTAAATTTATTTTGATTATACCTTTATTAATTATATGATCATTGGATATGAAAGAATTTCGAAGAGTATAATAATTGTGTTTATAATATAACTATATCTTCAAATACTTGCTAAAATTTATCAGTAAACGATTTCCTGCTATTTTTTTTATCTAAGTTAAAGCTATACTATCTTAATGACACGTTAATTATCAAATAATTTAATATGGACCATGGTTTATCATGATTTTCGTTGATATTTATGACCTGAAGTTTCGCTCCAATATCTTATAGAATTTAAAAATAGCACAATCAATCTAACACATTGGCAAAATAATCAAGATTATTCTAACTTTTTCACGATTGAGACTGCCAACGTGTTAAGAAAAATATATACATGCATAAGTTATTATTCCATCTTTTAGTTTTATTTTATCTTTGAACGATTCTAATGAATTCGGAAAAAGTAAAAACGCTTGTTTATCATTTCTTATACAAATTTTCTTTTATTTGTCACTTAGTCTACAAACTAGATTTTATCAACTATGTCAGCGTTAACTTTCACAATACAAAGTTTATTACCTCCATAAAGTTCACATAAATGCAATAGGAACAAATAGGTATACCGACTCTCTCATACATTCTCACAAATACAAGCATTCTATTTGGGATCCGACAGCTATTGATACATTAAAATGCAGTTTAGAACCAAATTGTCATACAGAAATTATGCAATCATCCTTTCTTAAATATAAAATACCATAATATTCAGCGAGATGTAAGTAAAATTTGTAAATACCACAAAGTCGCAAAAATATTTTTTGAATATTTTTTATTTGTTTTTGCATAATCAACGTAAAAAAGAATCTTAAGAGCAGTAATAAATCGTCGTTTTAAAGTGTGCATTAAAAACCTTAAGCAAATAACATGTTAGAACTAGCTTGTACTTTTTAATTTCTACACAAAACTGGAGTAAGTTTTCTTTTTGTTGCTAAGTAGATTATTTTCATGGCAAGTAGCAAAAAGAAATACTAATTGTTGAAAAGCTAACTATTAATGTAACAAGTACATGAGCAAACACTGATTAAGAATAAAACCACCGAATCACACAAAAACGCTTCGTTCGTATTCAAATTTGTCAAAGTCATCTCCGTGAAATTCGTCACTAAAAAAGTTGCCAGCGTTGCCTGATTCAGTCGCTTGCACTATACTTATTACCTTAGACACTACACGTATCACCTTCAATTAAAAATTAGACCTTGACAGGCCTCATGTCCTCGTCGTAATCGTCTTTGTATTCACTCTCATTGTCTCTCTTCTCAGACTCCTCATCAGCTCCATAAGCACCATCGTCGGAATCTTCGCGATGCTCGGGATTCATGTGTGCCTCTTCTTTGGGCGACTTATCCGAGTAAGAACTTTGGGAGCCGGCATAACGACGCTGTTGCCTGATGAGGTCGTAATCATCGGTCGACGCGTGCACGGAATACGTGACTATTGCGTTCTCCGGCAAGTCGTCTGACGACGATAGGCTACAGTTCGATCGTGGAATATCAACGGTCTCCAGCGAGTCGTGTTGGTGAGACATTTGTTGTTGCTGCTGACGACGCGAGCGCTTGCTCGATGGACGTTTGGGGAAGTGCGACGAAGAATGGTAACTGCTCGTGCCAGCTTCTGCTTGACAAGTGTCAGTCTTACCTGAAACGTGAACATCGATTGGTTTCGAGCAACGAGACGATCACGTATAATTTTGACGGGCGGTCCCCGAGTAATTACCGTCTTTTTCAGTAGCAACATCGTAAAGACTACTTTCTGGTCCACAGCAGGAGGAGACATCGCCAAAATAGAGTTCGCTCTCCGACTGTTTAGGCACCGAAGTAGTCTCCTGGGGCTGGAAGCCGGCGTTGTCGACGCCCTTCAGTAATTTCTTGTGCTTGCTGTTGCTGTTGCGCGTCACTCTTCCCGACGTCAGCACGTTATTTCCACTTGTTTCCGTGTCCGTGTCGTTGGAAACTTGCTCGGCGTTCTCGTAATTGTCGCTCGGTCGCTTGATATCCGGCGTTCTGCCGTAATCAACTGCTGAGAGAGAAAGAGAGAAAGAGAGATAGAGAGCGCGCTAAGTTTCAACGTTACCGCTTGGCGTTCTTTTGACAATCGACACTCGCGTAGCGCTTCATTTGTCATACCTTCTCGCTGAATAGTATTGTCGATCCTCTTGGTCAGCCTCGTCCGGGGATCGGCCTGAGGAAAGGCGATCATGGGTCTTCTGGCTGGACTGTTGGGATCGCTGTACGGCGGTGGTGGTCCCCAGAGCGGCACCGCAGACTCGAGCACGCTGTACGGACTGGCGGCGCTGCTCTGGCCGTAGTGATCTTCGTGGTGCGCAGCTTGGAGAACGGAATAAGCGCCGGCGGATTGCGGCCCGAGGATGCTGTAAGGTACCATTCCACCGACACTGGGATCGATCAGAGCCTCCTGGTTGGCAGTGCTACCGGCGCCGCCAGCCGCTTGCCCGTGAAATCCGTAATTCGAGTCGGTAGTCGGAGCTGGACCCCTGCTGCGAGACCATGGCAGTCGCCAACGTCTGTGAATATTCGAAAAACGGATTCATAAGTCACTGCCTCCCTCGGTCGCGCGTCACTGGGTCAACGCGGCCAAGGGCTGCCGACGCATCGACCTACTTCTGAAGGGCAAGCGATCAGGGACGCGCTCGCCTTTGTTTTTATAGCGTGACACCGTCTTCGGGCTCTGCCTTTAAATTGCCAAGCAGCCGACTGATTTTTAACGCTCGATTGTGGTGCGTCCGTGTCGCGGCGGCGTTTCCTTTTCAAGTTTTTGGCTTTCGGCACCGCCCACCTAGACAAACCGAGCGGCTTTTGTCGGGACTTTTCAGCGCCTCCGATTTGGCCGACGATTTATTACTGCATCTTCGCGCGACAAAGCCATTGTTTCGACTCAATTGGCGACTGGCAATTTCAACGGGTTCGCGCGATCGGACCAATTTTTCTCGCGGATGACGTAGGCGGCAGGCGTGCGTTCTTGAAAGAGCTGCTGTTCGCCGGGCGCTCCGCGCGACGGGCTCGGTGGGCCGATAAGAGGCAAGAGGAATTATGATTGATCGTTGAAAATTACGCGAACCGGGCTAGCCCGCAAAACGCATATCGCTGGGAGGTCTTCTCGGAAGGTCGTTCGGTCGTTAGGGACGCGCGCCGGAACGGAGACCACGGCGGAGCCAATCTGTACGTACCTCGAGGGGGCGAGATCGGGATTGGGCGTGTAGAGGTTGCCGGGCGACTGCGCCCACCAGGGCCCGATGCCGGCGCAGTCGTTGCAGCATCCGCAGGTGCCGGCTGGACGGGCGCTCACCAGGCCGGCGCCGGCACCCTGTCCGTAGAGCGAGCGGCAGCGCAGCTCCAACTGCTCCCAGTACATCTTCTTCTTCTCGTGGCTGAACAGCTGGTAGACCAGCATGCAGGAGAAGATGCAGGCGAGGATGCCGGCCACCGAGACGCCGAACAGCGCTCGCAGGCAGGCGTACAGGGCGCCGTGGACGGCCTCGCAGTGGGGCGTGCCCTCGAACAGCACCCCCGGGTCCGAGGCGCGCGACTGCGGCGCGCCGTAGCACGTGCACGACCTGCAACAATTGTCCACGCCCGGATTAGCGCTTTTGTTTTCCACTCGCTCTCTCTCTCTCTCTCTCTCTCTCTCTCTCTCTCTCTCTCTCTCTCTCTCTCTCTCTCTCTCTCTCTCGAAACAATTTACGCGCATCCATGACCTGCTTCGCTCTCTCCGCGCCAATCCTTTCGCGAGAATTTCCTGATTGGAAATTCAACTGTCGGCCGTTTAATTGCGGCATTCCGTGCGCGCGCATACGCGACGTGCCTTGATTAAAAGGCCATGTGTGCGCTTCCCGGCGAAGGACATTGCGATCGGGGGCCTGCAAAGTGGCGTTGTTGTATTTTGGAAAGCGGATAACGGGCGCGGGGCTATTGTTGGAGAAAATCTCCAGGAGAGTGAAGCGTTTCCTCCGTCGAGTCTTAAGCATCTCGGGACATATCGGATTTCCAGGCCGTCCCATAAACTTGGCTCCGAAATAGGAGATTTTCGGAGACATTCGAGGAAACGTATACGCGAGGCAGGCACGTCCATAGATAAGCACTTCTCGCTGTGCTCCTAGCAGGAGACATTTTGTTGTTTTCTTCTTTTTTTTTTTTGTTTCTCAGGAATGTCGAAGGACCTCCCCGAGAGAACGCATTGCGAACGCTCGCGTACACTCGTTGCGATGGAGTTCGATATGCGTTGCCCTCGCAAAAGAGGGGAGTAAGAGAAATTCGTTTTGACAAATACTCGACAGGTCTGAAACAATGCGCGCATTGTGCTCGTCGGGAGAACAGAGGAAGAGCAAGCAGAACAGAGAAAGAGGCGCGTTCGGGAATCGAACCGCAAAAGCCACAAAAGTCAGGAGGCCCGTCAAGCGAAATTTCAGCGTTTAAAAAGGACGGACGACGACTAAGGGAGAAAAGAGCTGCGGTCGCGAGATAAAATATAGGTGGAGCGTATAATGACAGTCGGATGACGCAAGCGTATGTGCACTAAAGGGAAAAAAGAGAAATGAAAGGGAGAGGAGGAGGAGGAGGAGGAGGAGAAGAAGACGAACAAGAATATGAAGTTGCTTACTTAGCCCGAGCGGTGTAGACGCACTCTCGTAGACCCTGGAGCCTGGACATGTGGACGACAGTTGTGGTGACGGTTACGAGAACGCAGACGAGGGCGCAGACGACGCTCACCGAACCGCAGACCTTCATCTGTGGACACACATACGCGCGCGCACGCACGTGCTGGATGAAAGCTACGCTGGATAGCTGCAGGTTGTTATTTTCGGCCGGACGCTTCTCTCTTTTCATTTTCATTTCCCGCGCCTCTCCGACACACGTGGCTGGCCGTCGCTCAACACGAGAGCCAGCCGCGCCAGAAAACAAGAAGGATACTAACCAGAAAACCGTAGCGGTGCTTTCTCCGGGCCAACAGCATCGTGAACAGACCCATGAATATCAGCTGCAAGTGGTTTAACATTATTTTTAGCATCGGACCGCGATTAAAGTCTCGGAAGCCTTTGAGGCTTCGACTACTTTCAAATTGACGTCTCTACTCTTAAGATCGAGAACAAACAACTGAATTCAAATGCGTCGTCGGTGCAAAGAGGTCATCCACTCGCGACAAAGTGTGGCTCTATTAATAAGCGGCCCGACTATTCTACTCTTACTCTTGCCGTCATCGATTCATTTCTTGTTTAATAACCATGAAATTACCACGCTATAAATACATCGACATCAATGACATTGATCGCTATAAGCATTTATCGAAAGCTCCCTACGTCAACGAAGCTCTCTAGGCCTCAAACTGATTCTCAAAACTTGATCGCGAAAAATGCTCTCTCTGCACTTCAATTCCTTAATTTGCAAAAGCCCCGACAAAATTTACTATTCTTTTGAAGCGTTTATTAACCCTTCAACGCTCCGACAAGCTCCTTTCGAGCTTGAAAAGCGGGGAAGGGGGACGAAAGTTTTCATGAAAGCCCAGTTTGAGAGAATGCAAATTTGCACCGCACTCAAAGTTAACAAAGCCCTGTCCCTTTGGAATACAAACGCTTAATTTTCTGTCTATTCAGAGTCGCGTCGCATCGCCGTTGCGAGACGAGCAGCAAAAAAAAAAGATAAAAAACGAAAGAAAAAAGCTCTCCTGACTTGCCGGCAGCAGTTTGAATGCTCGATAGAAGAGAAAATTACCATAGTGCCAGGTATGTAAGAGGGCACGGTCTCGAAGAGAGCGAGACTGGCCGTGTGAGCAGACAGCACGGCGTGAACAGCGAGGAAGAGGCTGCCAACTGCAACGCTAAGTCCGCCGCAGAGGCAACACAGTACCACGTACTTCTTGCAGCAGCCGCCCCCGTTGCCCGTCTCGCTGCTGCCCGCGTGTCCTGAAAAACCAAAGAAAAAAGGGGGTTGATCGACGATCGTCATCGGCGATACGCGACGCCTCTATTTCGAGGCTCTAAGCCCGCAGCGCGCCGCCGATATTTATCCGTATCTTCGAGTGTACGCGATCTGCCGACGCGACTAATATCAGGCTAAAATATCGTGTCGTTAAAATTCGACGCCGCGGTGCGACGTCGTTTCACTATATCACCTCCATTATTTTTTCTAATCAATATTCAAACTTTCAAATTGCCACGCACGTTCTTGAGACGTCGATAAGTAATTTAGGTTTAAAGAAATTTTGAATTGAGAAAATTCATAACACAGCTTTATCGATCAAAATCACATATTTCGTAATTTTTTTGATAAGAAACAAAAATACTTATTGAAATTTGGAAATTATAAGAACTCAGATATTAAGTGACTACTGCGCCTTGAGACAAGTTCGGCATTTTTTCCGTGCACTCTACGTGCCTTGGCTTTATGAATATATATATATATACACTTGGTCGGCACTCCGTTCAATTTCCTGTGAATGTTAACAACGTCAGTTTCCTTTTTGCCTTGCGTTTGAAAATTCCGTGCTCGGCGCTTCCATTACAAAAATCAGTTGTACCTGTGGCGCTTCATTAGCTTTCAAAGTGGGCTTCGAGTATAGAATACAGCTTACGTCGGCATTTCACGCGGTCGTTCACTAATTAGTTTAGTTCTCGGATAGTAAGCCTCGGATGATCCGGGCATGATTTTCATAAATTTTCGTTTTTAATGAGACTCGGACGAGACTGTCATCGGTATTGATGGACCTATGGCGGCTCCCATTGTTCGGCGCTCAGACAGATTCTCGCCGAGCAAACATCTTTTGGGCGTAGATTTTGGCGGTCGCGTCTCGCCGCCGTCGTGTGTGCCGCGCGAGCGTACGAAATCGCGGCCCTGCGCAGGGAACTGCTCGGAAACGCGGCCATAGATGCGTCGCGTCCCTCGCGCGTCTCGCACAATCGAACGCGAGAGTGTGCAATGGACGACAAAAGCTCTCGCCAGAAGGAAATCGAAACAAATGGCGCTCGGTTTTTCATTGTCCGCCACCCGTGGCTTTGTGTCGAAACTCTGTGGGTTACGTTGTTTTCTCTCTTTCTCCCTTCTTTATTCCGCGTATAGGCAGAAAAATTCCAGATTCCGTGGCTGTATTGTGCCGTGCGAGCTCTCCGTCCAAGACTTTTTCTTCTGTCCACAGCCAAATGCGTTCGAAGGATTTCGGGAAAACCCCTCCCACCGTAGGTACCGCCTTCGTATTATACCTGCCGGAGTTGGGCTTGGAAAAAGGAAAAGCCACGAGCGTCCATGTGTTGCACGTGGGAAGGAGAAGAAGAAAAAGAAGAGGAGCAGATCGCAGGTGGTGCTGGTCAAGTGTATGCGTGCGTGTGGGAAAAGCCGCGAAATCTTTTGAGAAGCGTGCATTTGATTTTTGAACGGGGGTTGAAAACGCCGCTGATTTATCGATGCACAGGTGGCTGCTTTCCTCCCAAAAAGGAAAAAAATCCAAGAGTCAGCCCCAACGATTAAAATCTTTTTGTGGCCCTCGCCTCTTTTTCTCGTCTTCCGGCGGCAATGCGTGTTCTATTGCATTCCGCGCGGGGTTACGCATTAAACGCACGCGGGCTTCTCTGATACTTGTGCCCACTTTGCCTCGTGCATCGGAATAATCGCCCTGTCGACAAGTCTTCCTTCTATATTCCTTCGTTATTCGCTGCTACGTTTGTTTACTTCACTCGGGTGCGTGCAGCTCGATTATTGGAAAAAGTTAGCCCGGTAGCTGGTTAAAAGTTTTTCTTGCGCGCTGATGTGGAACGTTGCGTATCAAAACCTATATACATACAACAATGAGTCCATTGTGCTCAACGACTTCCGCCTCGAGTTTTATTCACTTTTACGTAGACGGGAGAGGGAGCAACCGAAAGATGCGTATCCGACGCGAGCGTTACATCCATCGCCGCTCGTCAGTGCGATCCGACGTCGTTTGCGCTCAGAGCTATCAGTTTGACAAGCAGATGCGCGCCTCTTTTTATCAGAGCGCGTGTACCTGTTGCTAACGAACTCGAGGGCTCGCGGTGCGCGTCGCGGCGTTTTGCCCCCTGCTCGCTTGCCCAAGTGCGGGCGCGCACAAACGAAGGCGAGTGAAAGTACAAGTAGGACGGCTCGACTTGGCGGCACGCGTCGTCGCCGGCGCCTAGCATGCATCTACGTCTACGCAAGACCGCGAGGCAGTGGTTACCGACAGCTGGCGGGCGTCAGTGCTCGGCGAAGAGCGTAGGCGGAGCGAATGACAGAGGATTTACCGCAAGCAGCGTGGGAGCACCTGGCGGCGGCGGCGGCGGCGGCGGCGGCGGCCCTGGCGTGCTGCAGGAAGCTCGCGTGGCCGTGGTGCGGGCCGCCGGGCGGGAAGTGATGAGCGGCCGCGGGGTTGTAGGACTGCGCGGCGGCGACGGCCGCGAACGCGTCGAAGGGCTCGGCCGGGCCGGCTTGGTTGCCGAACCGGCAGCGAACTATGTGCAGGATGGGAAACCCACGGTCCATCTTCGATCCGTCTGCGTGGCCGCCTGTGCGCGGCCTCCCCGGCGAAATCGATGCGCTCACGCCTGGCGGCGCCGAGCGAATATCCTGGCTGCTCGCTCTCGCTTTTTATCCGTCTCCGGCTGCTCGGCGTCTGCTGCCGACTCGCCCCATCGCGCGCTCTCTCCCTCTCTCGACGAGCAGGCAGAGCCTACTCGGCTATCGAGCGCTCGAGCATCGCCTCTCTCCTCTCTGCTGGAGACTAGCCCGACGAGACGCTTCGTCCGAGCGAAGACAGCGATGAGAGAGCAGGCGTACCTCGTCGATGAAGGCCCACAGTGGAGAAGGGAAAGCGTCATTAAGCGTATCTGCGAGGTCGGACGGCGTGCGGCTGCATCGGCCCAGTGGCGCGTTCCACTCTCTCCCGAGCGGCCGGGCCGTCGACGGGGTCCTCTCCCGCCCCTGGGTCGCGGAACGGAGGCGCCCGGGCGGGCATCCTCCTCGTCGACGGCAACGCGGGGCTGGCGTGGCAGCGTGCGAGGGGTTGCGCGCGCGCGCTGGCCGTCGGGGCAGCCGAGGGCTCACTGTATAGCCGCCTGGCTACGGCGCGTGCACGAGGCGGGCTGTCGGAGCCGCGCCGCGGGTCGATGGATCGGCGCGCGACGCCGGGCACGCGCAGCAGCGGCCTGCCCGAGGCCGCGGCGGCGCGGCGCCGATCGATGGCTGATCGACCCCCGCGGGCCAGCGCGCCCAGCTGTTCGGCCCCGCTGGCCGGCCATCGCGCGACTCATCGGCAGCTAATGATCCTCGGCTGCAGCCAGCGTCCGCGCGATTTCGGCCGGCGGCGTCTCCCCCGGCCGAGCTCGCGCTCGCAGCGCCGCGGCGGGTTAAAGGGGCTAACGAGGCGATGCGCGGTGTAAGAATCTGCGCTGATAGCTGCTGCGCCCGTCCCCCGCGCTAATCTTCTGATATCATTGAATCTCGCGCCCCCAACTCGATGTGCCGCTCGTTTAATCGAGGCTCTAGCGTCGAACTGCTTTCGAGGCAGCGCGCAATCTAGTTTAAACTTGGACGACTGGACCCTCGTTAACCGAGACTGAATAATTCGTTCAACGTGTACCAAACTTTGGTTAACTTTGTTAACGTTAACTTCTCTCTCTCTCAAGTTCGTAGTTCCTCAATTCGGCTTAATTGTTGCGCTTCAAAACATTCGAAATAGCTGCTTTTATTTCCATTTAACACTTTTAATGAATTTATTTTATACGTGTATACATAATTATTGGTTTATTGGCTAAAGTTTTTAATTATAACAGCTTTGCGCGTTGAAACTTTTAGACCGTCCGCTTTTCGCTGAGGAATTTATCGATGCCGCGAACCTTCTGAATTGCATTTTCTTTTTATTTTTGCGCCACCACCATTTTTTTCATAATTCGGTTTTAAAGCCTATACGTCTAATTTGCACGGCTGCACGTCTATTGTATAACCGTGCAAACTGTCAATTATTAAACTTGGTGTACCGTTGTTGGTTTATTACGCTACAAACATAGTTCCGCGAATGAGCATGTCAGCAAATTACCGAAATGAAGCAGCTCATTCTGAGAAAGAAAGCTTAGTATACAATCTGAGATGAATGATTCGGCGTAATTGAATAGGAAGTCTACTTGACACCATTACGCTACAATTGGGTCTAAATCGAGATCGTCATTTTTATTTTCCTATTTGAAACTGACGAGGTGCACAAGAACAAGCTTTGACTTTGGGCATTTGAAATAGCATCGTTGACCGGTAAATTGGCATAAGAATAATGAGATACTCACGTTGATTGGCAGTACCGATGGAAGGTAGCTCGAGTCGTCGACCGGACGGTCTCGGGGGTGGTCTTGGCGGCAACGCGGGTGGGTGACGATGCTGGCCTACAGCAGCCTCGTCATCCTCGGGGGCAATACCCATTGCCTCTCGATCACGCTTGAGTCGCAGCTCGTGCATCGCGTGACACTGGCACTTGCTGCTGCTGGCCTTCGTTCCGGTTATCGTAGCCTGCAGTCATACGGCGTCGTTCAGCGCTCAATCATTACGCTCGAGATGCGCGATTCGCGTGACGACAAATGATACGCCGTGACCGCCTTGAAAAACTCTGGCTTTCTGATTGAACGGCTCTTGTCGCTGCCCGTCGGTATTCAATCGAAACGTTTACTTTGCGGCGGCGGCGATACCCGTCACGATCCTTTTCCCGGCAATAGAGCGTCGGTCGCGTGGCATCCTTAAAATTGATTTTTTTGTATATAATAGAAAGTTTTTTGTCGTCGCCGAGCAAGAACTTTTCCCACACCGCGGAGCTCGCGCGTACACTGCATCGCCCGTATAAGGGACGCGCACGATTTTTTCAGATTACTCATCCGACCGAAAATTATTTTCCGTGAGGCGGCTGCTATAATGACGTGCGCGCGCGCATCAAGAAATTGAAACGTTAAGTAAGTTTATGAGCCCGGACATGTCCGTCCACGGGAATGCCGGCGTCGCCGTAAATTCCACTGCTCGAAGATCATCCCAGATAATCAGAAGCGTGCTTGAAAAAACAGGTCGTTCGATGTCCAGCCGCGATCGTAAATTAGGCAAAACTCGCGGCACATACTGAGAGCAGCGAGAACATACCTGCGAATCATTGAGTTCGGCGAGCGAAATGTTCTTGCTCTTCTCGCTCTTGTCGTGCGTTGGCAGGTGAGAGTATCGGCTGAGATTGTCGAAATTCACGGACGACCTGTCCCTGTCCTTGGGCACCTCGCTCATACTCGACGCCGGCCGTGCGAACTTGGGCTGTCTCTGGTAGTGCTGATGATGCTCGTGCAGATGAACCTGCTCCAATCTCGGATGATGACTCCGGCAGCTCTGTGCCGACTGCGGCCCGGTCTCGGTGCAATTCAAGCTTCGCCGCGGGCTCGGAATGATATGATAGTGCAAGTGCGCCATGGAGGGATCGGCGAACACGGAACCCGGCAGGATATCCTGCAGCTGATGCTGGCTTATGATGCCGGAGGCCGGGAGTCTGTCAACTGTGCACAGGTTGATAGGATGCAGGTGGGCGGTCGCCGACACGCTGTCCCCGTGATGGCGATGATCGTCGTTGCGCGACGGAGGATTGGCAGGCGTGATCTCGTAGTACTGCAGATCCGCGAGGCTTCCGTGTGTCGGAGCCTGTTGCTGCTGCTGCTGCTGCTGCTGCTGCTGCTGCTGCTGATGATGATGCATTGTGTCGCGGGCCGACTGTCCGAGTGCAGTTTGGATGGCGTCCAGTTGTCCGCTTGGCGAAAGATCTCCCGGGGCGCGAGAGAGTCAACGACGCTTCGGAGATTGATCGGCCGCTCGCATGGTGTACGAACTATACCTGCTAGACCCCTTACCGTTCTGCTGCGTCAACGTGACCCGATTTTTTTCCTTCCTTCCTTCCTTCCTACTTTCACCTGGCAACTGCTTGGCCCTGCACTTGATCAGCCTGCAATGGAAAAAGCTACCTTCGTAACTTTCCTTTTCCTTTTTCCGGCGCTGTAGAGATTTCGCTCTGTGCAGATGCTCGACACGTGTTTTCCAGCTAATTCCCTTGAGTTTAGCAGTTTACGTTACTGCGCCGCTGCTAATCACGAGATGAAATTTATCTTGGGAGGTTTTTTCGTTCGTTCCTTTGAACACCGAATCGTTATTACTTTACAAAGTGACTTGAGTTTCGAGTTTGGCTAAAATACGCAATGCCGTTGCGCGAATGTACACAAGTGAAATTCATATCGACACGATGATAAGTCGGAGATTTCCCTGGCTGTAAAATGCGTAGCAACGTTGTTTATTGTTGGCAAGGGCCTGGGTAAAACACGATGCAATTCGTGTATTTATTAAACCCATAAATTTTATATACCCGTTCAAGTGTCTGTAGATAAGCAATGAAGCTATATTTACACATACAATCAACGGTACAATAACCATAAGCCTGAGCTTTTTACAGTACGATTCTTTCAACTCTTTCACTGCCTAACAAAGTAAACATCAGATCGCCGAGAAAGAAGAAAGAAAAAATATAAACATACCTCACACATGCACCAACCCACGCGGGACATATTTATATATCCGCTCATCTTTTAATGTCGCTGCTTGACATTCATTGACTTGACGCACTTTATCTTTCTTCTTTCTATTCGACAAAGAGGAAAAAGAAGCAGCGTCGCGCGAGGAGATGAGCAGGGAAGAAAAGGGACGAGGGAAACAGCCTGCAACCGGATTTCTAACTGTTTTGAAAGCATCGAGATACCAAACAACGAAAAAACTGCTGTTGCTCATACCGCGTGGCTGCAGTACGGACTGCGCAGTCTCTGGATCTGGAAACTGTGACTGCTGCTGCAACAGGGCAGAAAGCAGCGTTGCTGCTCATTCAGCGAAAGAGACGCAAAGAAGAGGAGAGAGCTGCTGCTGCGGCCGCCGCCACCGTGAGCATTCCAATGCACGCTGGTAAATTTCGAATCTGGCGCACACACTCTTTTTCTTGAAAAACATGAATCCACGCACTGCTCGCAGTAACAACACTGTCTAGTAAAGCTGTTGGTATCGAGTGAAACGAAAGGGAAAGAGCCTAATAAACAACAAACTAGGCAACAGTCTCAGCTGAACAGAGTTCAGCGCTCCGAACGCGGCGTAACCTCCACCTTAACTGAGCCTGTAGAGTCGCGCGCGAGGCTCCGTTTCGGAATGCCACTCTCTCTCTCTCTCTCTCTCTCTCTTTCTCTCAATCTCCCCCCACCATCACTATACCTAACATAACTACACTCGTGCACAGTCGAGAGGCCGTAAGGGCCCGTCGCGCCGTCGCTGCTAAATTGCGAGCACAGGGATACAGATGGGTGCGTGCGTGACCGACCGAGGGACCGTGAGAGTGGAACACCGACACGAGAGAGTGAGAGGGTGGGGATACGCGAGCAAACAACGTATTGTATAATTGGATTGAAAAAAAACAGCATAAAAGGGAACACGAGCGGCTTGAACTAACGTACTCCACTTGCATAGATTAGTCGGCAAGCAAGGCTTTTTTTTGCTAATTGTTGTAATTAGTCAGTCTCCCTTTTTCATCGCCTACTTCTATGTTAGATTGAAATACAGTATTTGCATTCTGTAGGGATAATTGTTTTGTGGAAGGAAGTTGTAACTATCGTTTGCGTTTATTTTAGATCGCACGATTGATCACCACTTAATTTGACATACTTGTGATTATTGTTTTTTTTATTGCAAAATTGCCAGTGATTGAAATTGTTCGTTTGTCATAATTTTGATAAAAAAAGATAAAGGGAAACGCCATTCAAAGCACTAGAACATTTCCGATTGAATACGGTTTCCAAGAAATTAAAAAGATCCGAATTGTCAAATCATCGAGTGTCCGCGGGCCTTAGCGTATGTTTATCCTCACAATTACAAAGAGCCATCTATTGGTTTGCAGTGAATCTTTTTCCAAGAAATCACCTCACAGGACATTGAATCCACCAATTTCAAAGCGCGAATCTGAAAAGTTACACCAATACTTATCTCAGGGAAAAATTTATACTCCGAATCTCATTCATAATTTATATATAATAAAAAAATGATTTAAAAAAAAAATCTTTTGAAAATATTGACGAGCTCATATTCACTGTTTTGAGTTATACTTTCTTATTATCAGCATCAAAAGAAGATTTAGTTATTCAAAATTGTTATGTTGTAAGCTTCAGTTTATTAAGCCGATCATTTATTCACAAAAGTCTTTTCATAATTATGTCGTAAAATATCTAATTTCGTCTAATAAATATTCAACATACTTTAATTAGCGAAACACAAGCATGGAACATTCTACATTTTTAACTATTTATATCCTAAACATAAAATAAATTTGCAACCATTTATGTTTAATCATTTTTTTCCTAACACTGGCTAAATATTGTTACATGAACCAGCTACTGGACCAAATACGTCATGTGGTTTCTTGTCTTTTAATTTTTTATTTACCTATTATTAGAATTATTATGAATTCAAGCTTAAAAACTATTCAATTGTCCAAGAAATATTACGGTTTCGTGCTATAAATTTTAGGGCGATAACATTTATAATGAATTTATGGAATTTTTCTGAAGATTTGGATGAATTTCCATAGTATGAACATTAAATTTACAGATTTATCACGTTTGTACTGACGGTAAACCGCTACAGTTAACACCCATAACGCCATTGATGGGTCATACAAAGCGGCGCTGCGACTGTGTATTTTTTTAAGTCATTCAAAACAAATTACCAATTATTTCGATCAATAAAATTTATTAATTTAAAACATTGTCTTTACTCAATTTAACAATCGGTAATGAAAAAAATATCTAATAAATTTAAATTCCTCTGCGGCAGATTCGAATAAAAAATGTTTTGGATTGATTCAACATTGTTATAATCTTCAAAATTGCAATACTTTTAATCGAGTCTGTTTTATGGATGGGAAGTACCGAGTCTGAAGAATGAGGGAATTTTTACCGTGACGTTACTATAATTTTTATTCAAGAAACATTATGAAATATTACAAGAAAAATTATAAGGACATTTATTATGCGATATTATTTAAAATTTATGAAATAGTCATGATATCCCAAATTTACTACGATTTTTATTCTTAAAACATTTCTTGTCGTGCGGATATGTATATCATTTCTTTTTCACTTTTCTGCCATTTTAGATTATTACATTACAGTTCTATTGTAAAATGGTAGTGCCAAATAGCACTATAAAATATATTTCTTGATTGAGATCAATCTTGAGTTATATATAAACAAAATTTAAGTCAAATGCAGAACTTTTTCTTTTTGTAAAAGCCAGTAAAAAATTAGTTTAAACGGGATGCTTCAAATAATTAATTCATATAAAAAATAAAGGATTGTACGTGAAAGACACATTTTGGCATTAGAACTTCGTTAGGCCTTCGTTCATTAGGCCTTCGTTAGACCGAAAACTAATGAACTATTAATGAGCACAAATCTGCATACATCTTTGTATACACTATAGTTTCGTGACTGTGTCATTTCTCTTATTTCATGCCTGTTATTAATACTGTCAAACTTTCTGTACAACTCGATTGATTTTTGTGTACCGCGAGAGCTCGAGCTCCTAATTGTTTATATATTCCAAGAAGAACTGTGTGCAAATTTACAAATCTATAATTTATTTTGTTTAAAATTACAGGGTGAAATGATCCATTCGGACTCGTTTAACTCGTCTTAGATATAAAGTAAATTTTTTTTAATTAATACTTTTCATCTGTACAACCGATAAATTTTCAATCGGCCATGTGTGCTCGGAAATTTTCTTTTTCTTTCAATAGAGAGACACAACGGATTGTTTCGGAGAAAAAATATGCCGCTAACTCATATTCTTAAGCACATCTTATTCGCTCAAATATATAATCCATAAAATCATAGAAAAAAAATCTTTCAATTTTAGCGGCGTCACAGTATTGAGTATAATTGCAGGGAATTTGAGACGAGGGTCTGTCGGCTTTTACTTTGGAGGACGAGCGCGCGCGACTCAGCGAGTTTCCGTGTAATAACCATCAGTGAAAGGAGGAGAAGAAAAAGAGGAGAGAAGGAAACAAAGAAATATTGTGCGTGACTCTACGCGAGAATGAAGGTGCAATGTAGACCTGCTGAGCATCAACACCTATGTGCGCCCCAAAGGCTCTCGCGAGGGTGGGATGTATGTTACAAGTTTATAATTGAATGAGAAAATCAATGGAAGGTATTTATCTGAACAAAGCTCATAGATCAAGTAAAACTGATTCTATTGATTTGCCAAGAAGATGAAGATTGTATAGCTTTTTCCCACCATTAAATAAAGTTGATGGGCTTCGAAAAAAAAAAAAATGAAAATTCCATGCCGTGGCACACAGAGGATGATGTAGCTTTCCTGGAGGTGCATCGTTGCATCGTTTTAGATATAGATTACATCCTCGTATATGATTGCCCAGAGGCGTTCCATGACCGAGTTATAAAAAGGCGAACAAGAGAAGAGGCGAAGGGAAAGCAGAAAAAAAATGATGTTTGTTCACGTGTCGCTGCGAAGAAAAAGTCGGTGCGACGGTAATTCCGTGGGCTCGGCTTGCGAGCCTAGCGCCTCCCAGTCTTCGATTTCAGCGCGCGCGCACGGATAGGAAAGAAGGACTTCTTTCTCTCAAAGGTTCGTCCCAGAAATCGTATTCAATGGTCCCGTAGTCCGCCAGCGGGGGGGGGGTTGGGGCGATTTTTATTGCGTCTACGCGAGAGCAGCGCGCTCGTAATAAATGGACACCTTTTCTCCCTCTAAGGGGCACGAAAGACGAC